GATCGTAAATTAAGTTCATAGATTAGTGAACTTTTGACGAACACTGAAATATTGTTTAGTGAGTTTCTTTTAAATTTTACGAAATTTTTAATAAAAAAAGTATTCAATTCTAACGACTGGACTGCAATACCTCGACAATGGTCCAAAATCATTGAAAATTTCTGAGTTAATCAGACGTGTTCCAGCAATTCCCAATGTCAAAAGTTGATATAAAACTTTTGACAAAAGAGAGCATGAACATTTCATCTAGTTGAAGAAAGGCAGGAGACTGTAGTTTCCCATCTTTATGATTTCTGATAATAAATCTTTCAATTATTTTATGAATTTATCGCAATGCTTATTCCATGACAAGACATAACGACACTCGAGTGTGGTTCTGTGATCAGTCACAATATTGTGTTCTCATGTGATGCGCTATTACAGTCTATTGGGTACATCCCAATGCGATACATTGTAATGCTGTGATACATTGCAACAATAAAGATGATGCGTTGTTATGCATTGTGATAAATTGTGATGTAATTTGATGTAGTATGATACATTGTGATGTAGTGTGATGCATTGTGATGCATTGTAATACATTGTGATACATTGTGATGTAGTGTGATGGATTGTGATACATTGTGATGTAGTGTGATGCATTGTTATGCATTGTGATGCATTGTGATGCATTGTGATGCATTGTGATACATTGTGATATATTGTGATGTAGTGTGATGGATTGTGATACATTGTGATGTAGTGTGATGCATTGTGATACATTGTGATATATTGTGATGTAGTGTGATGGATTGTGATACATTGTGATGTAGTGTGATGGATTGTGATACATTGTGATGTAGTGTGATGGATTGTGATACGTTGTTATATAGTGTGATACATTTTGATGTAGTGTGATGCATTGTGATGAAATGTAAAATAAGAAAACGAAAGCGCTCTAAAATGAGTTAACAAAATGGAGACTTTCGTTGGAGCGATGAAAGTGCATTTGAAAATGCCATCGAGATATTTGCTAACAACGTCATCTTTCAAAGCAACTAAGCACATGTTGATTTGTAATTGTAAAAGGTAAATTATTGGGGTGCTATATGTCCTTAAATGCAGATTTTATATGTGTTGGCAAGATGTCGACAAGTTGCAAATGTGCAACTGTTGTACTGCTTATGCAATCTTTTGAATTCTTGTAGATCTTTTGGACTTGCTAGATTACTAGACTCAACATTCAACTATTTTTTCTTTTTCAGAACTCTTTCTCCACTCATACATTTATCCTAAAAAGCATTACTCTTCATCATCAAGTGAAGAAATTTCAAAAGATGAACCAATAGCATTTTCAAAGTCTGCTGCGAAAAATCATACAGTAAATGACACTTTATACTATGATAGTGGTCGACGAAGCTCCTTTACAGGATTGGTGATAACATTTGGCATGCTTTTTTGCATTACATATTTTGGATTTTTACGCCAGGAAGGTGAAACTGAACAGGAAATTTTTAATAAGATTCTTGAACTACAGAACTTAAATGCATCTGAAGAATCAAAGAATGATCCTGTTGAAAATAATACTTAGGAATTGTTCTAAATGTGGTTACGTTTGGATAATAAATGATACAGATGGACTTGAACTTGCTTAAACTTTTTACAAAATGTATCCTATCATGTACCTATACACAAGAATATTTTTAAAAAATCCAACATTGTTGTTTTTTAAGGAATTTTCATAATTCCGATATTAAATAACAATAATTGTAAAGTGGAACCAAATCTATTCATGAACACTTTTATTACCTCTTAATCAAGACTATTTTTGAAAATGCAGATGTAAATTTCTTTAAATATATTTATTTGCATTCTTGCATTAAAAAAATAGCCTTACAGTGGAATATACTGAACACCAAGATTTGTTGTAGCTATTGCCCGAATTATTTTAGAGATTTGACCTGTTAACAGGCCTAACTAAGTAAAAGGTTTATTATTATTACACTTACGGTTTTCGACGAATCCTTGGCAGTTTGACGACAGACTACGATGAATGACAAATCTCATGCCAATTGTGAAGATGAAACGATCGGATGTTGAGCAAGGACAGCCACAAAAAAGCCCAAAATAATTTTTTGAAAAATTCAGAACGTTGATGGTGAAACCATCGTATCCAATTTTCAGGCTACCTGACAAACATTCCCGCTTTAATGTCGACGACGGCAAGCACTGAAGCAAGATTGGCCATTTCTTGTAACTGCGCATGTCGTCTACGGCATTAAATGGGTAATATCGACAGCCAGTCGGAAAATTAGAATTTTTAGGTTTTTTATTTTCATGTTAAAGAAATTCCATGTTTTTATTACGAAAATTTTCAATTAAATAATGTTGAAATTTGGGCATTTGATAGCGGCGTGGTTTTATCCATCATTGCGATTGATTGATCAGTCGTGATGTTAGCAGGAAAACTCCCAGGAAAATGTCTTAGAAAAGGTCATAATATTGACTTTTCCATGGAAACAGGCGTTAGGCTGATGGATGCATTGCTCCAGAAGAGTGTTTAGCGTTTGCATTCTTTGTAGAGATGGTCTTTAGGGCATTAGAAGTCACGTATTTTTAAATTTCATCAAAGTATATTGTCCATTCTTGATCATTGTTCAGAAGAGTTCATTAATGTATATTGCTCATTCTTGATCATTGTTCAGAGGTCTTCGTTAAAGTAAATTGTTCATTCTTGATCATTCTTCAGAGGACTCGTTAAATTATGCTGTTCATTTTTGATCATTGTTCAGAGGATTTCATCAAAGTACACTTCCCATTCTTGATCATCGTTCAGAGGTCTTCATTAAGGTAAATTGTTCATTCTTGAGCATTCTTCAGAGGACTTTATTAAGGTATGCTGTTCATTCTTGATCATTGTTCAGAGGATTTCATTAAAGTACGTATATTGTCCATTCTTGATCAGAAGGTTTCTACATAGGACAAGTGAAGCCAATGTCAGTTCACACTACTATACTTCCATAAAAGAAAAACATTGATAACATACTTACATTGAGCATTTTATTCACTAGTAATGTAGTTCAAGGGAAGGAGAATTTTAACCAAATTACAGAATTGTATTTTGTTCTTATGTTTAGATGAGCGTCGAGGAACTGGTCGACAGCAGCCACAATTCTCTTCAACCGCTGTTAACAATAACCACTTTCTTTAATTGTGGAGTCTACGATCATGGTGAATACACCAACATTTGTTTGTTGTTTGTCAATCTCATTTGATGACTAATTGTCTTTTAAAAGAAGAATGTCCATGTCTAAAATCAAGCAATGAGGAAACAAAAGTTACTAAGACGAAAACTTTATGGGAAGGCCACACTGCACTTTGCAATAATGAACATCACATGCAGTGCCCAATTTACTGTTTACTCAATGCAAAAGAACTTGAAACAACACATTTACCTGAAGAGATATTTCACCGTGGAATAATTTCCACTTCGGCTAACTATTCTTCGGGCAACTACAAACTTTCACGTTCAAATGGCACGTTATTAGTCTTAGACTATGGCCCAAGTTTCACGAACGTGTTGTATTCTGATTGGTCAGTGACTAGGCGTGTTGTAAACGTGTTGTGTTCTGATTGGTTATTTACTAGGTGTGTCGTAAACTGTTGTGTTCTGATTGGTCATTTACCAGGTGTGTCGTCAATTGTACATTTGGAAATTTAGAATTTGCATGATTCATCACTTAGAAGTACTTAATCCCCATAGAGCGGTAAATGCAATTTAATACAATATAAATAAAAACGTATACTTCAGCTACAGCAAATAGCAAATCCCAAACATTTAAGTCTCCTTGGGGAACAACTACAGCTGAATCATGCAAATTCTGAAGTCCACTGATGTCAAAAATGATTTGATAAACCCTCTAGATTGTTAATTTCATCTCATTTTCTTATTGTATTTATTAGCCTAACATTTGATCTCTTTTATGTAGCATTCTACAGGGTGTATATAAAAACGACGTTTGGCAATTAAGCTACTGTAAAATTTCGAAACCCAATCATTGTGCTAACCTCACTAGTGCATTACATTTTCAACGGAGGAAAATCTTTTGTGCTTGCATCAACGTAGCTAACAATGTTCCATGCACCTGTGGGCTTGGCGTAGTGACAGACATTGAAATTATACAAAGGTCTTCAATGGTAAATGAAGGCTGACCAACTAGTTTTGCACACATCAAAGGAATGAACCGGATAGAAAAATATTATTACAATGTATTTTTTTATTTTTTTATTCAACTATCAGCCGGTATTATATGTTGTCCATTTTAAAGAATTTTCAATCTCCATGCGACAGTAAATTTTCATGGCAACTTTTGTTCCGAATCTTTCCACATTCCCTTTTTTGAGTGATAAAAATGAAAAAATCTAAGCACCTTCAAGCGTTCGATTTTCAGGCCGGCTGTCAAAATTTTATCTAATAGGTCCCAGTCTTCGCCACCCTAGGCATGCCTAAGCCGTTCCACGTCCATGTCACCATTTCTAAAAGGAGATAATACTCTGGAGTAATGATATAAGTCTCTTTTTAACCCAGAAGATTAATAGATTTTAAATGGAAAAAATTATTTTCCATATTTGATCTTTTAAATTCATTGTTTTGAGTATCAATGTAGTCTTTTTGCAAAGTAACAAAATTACACATCATACAATAAAAGTTTCCCTGTAAAATAGGGTGAGGTCTTCATTCTGGTTGCTTAAATGCCAAGATTTTATTTTATTTTGATTATTGATACCTTACATTATACATACGAAGTACATACCTATCCCAGTCTGATTTGTACAGTGCTATAGGTCCATACCCATCGTGCTCCCAGCGCCTATTACTTAGGTTGCGTTAATATAGTCAAATTGTCGCTCTAACACTTAAGCATCAATGGCATTGATACAAAGATGTTGAAAGAAGTGCCAAACACTTAGGTAAAACAATGCATGAAGTATTGTTGGTCCAACATGAACTCTGTTAAGTGTTTTGTTTATGATGAGAATGTTTCTTCATTTTCTATGTCAACAGTATTATCAAGCAAATACATTCATTGCCCTATTGCCATCTGCAGACATATCTATTGTGTGGGAATATTTACAGTGTAAAAATGAAGTTGTCTTAAAAATGTTTCTATTTACATTGAACGATTAAATTTATTGCTGCATATGATACATGGTCTAAAAATATTAAAAAATTATAATTTCATTTCATAGCTGTTGGTCTTTAGATGAGCACAACATCCTGAAAAATGAAACAAAATATATTAAAGTATATTTTCACCTTACCAAGCATAGGTAATAAAAAAATCATAATACTGTAACAGCAAATAACAGCATGTTGTAAATTATGTAAGCAAGTCTGATAATTGTGTACGTATTGATTTAAAAAATGATGTCTACGCGTCAGAAATCGAGTCACGTATATGACAACTTGCTTTTCATCTGCCTTTTGTCCTTTACACTCAATGCAAGATTTGAATACATGAATGCCTAAACAAAAGGTTTAGCAACAGCAGGATTTTACTTCTTTAGGAATGTAACGAAACACGTAATGCTTGTGGTGATTAAAATATTGTTACAAAATAGGAAACTTGTTCATTACGTGACTCACGAGAAATGAATTTCCTCGAACTACCGGCAAATTTCGAAAAATTATTCCACAGTCAGCTCTGTGTAATATGAAGATGAAAAATTCATGTAAATAAACAACTGCTATCCTTTGGTCACCAACTGCGACCTGTGTGTGGTCACTAAGAACCAAAACAAACTTACATAATCCTCCTCGGAAGAACAGTTTTGTTCTTCCGATTCTTCACCTTCTAATATGCTATCCTTGAAATACTCTTCAGGTTGAGATCGACTCATATCTGCATCATCGTCAGCGAATGGATGAAAGAATGAATCCAAATTTGAAATGCCAGCATCTACCTTTGAAACCTCGTCGAGAATTTGTACATCAGTGTTGGTATCTATAAAATTTGTTTTTGATTTCGATGATGATTGTAGAAAAGTCTTTTTCCCTTCTTCTCGGCCATTGTTGTCTTCAATTGCGGCTTTATGTTTGAAACTAAATTTTTCAATGCTACTGAAAGGTTGCTTCCTACTACAGGATGCTGTTGAAGCATCACGTGCAATACCATCATGATTATCACCACTTTCTCCGTTAGATCCTTTTTCCAATTGAGAAAAAGATGCCGCATACTCTTTGTCTACAGAACCACTACAGACAGGGGACGTGATTTTTGCTCCAGTACATTTTGATTTAGTTTTGTATTGATTGTTAGACGTCTTTTTTTGGTTGCTTTCAGCCAGGATGGACGACAATATAGTGCACTTCGTTTACGTCCTGAACAAAAACGAAAGGAATAAGACTTGACGCTATTCACAGCCTCATATAGAAAATAAGAGCCTGGGGACAAGGCTGCGCTAATCACCTCACTTTTCAGAAGCATCATCTTGGGAAGATAAAACATGTTGAAAACATTGTTACAGAAAACTTATTTTCACAATCTCTACCTCTTTTTGCTATAATCTTGTTTGATATTTCACAACTGTAACCCGTTCTACCGTCGTCAAAAACAGCGTTATTATCAACATATTTCTCAGTAAAAGCCAATGAACATGATAATTCTTCTTGACTTGTCCGAGGTGCTTTGGATTGTCCACGTATGAAAAATCTACGTTGTCGTTTACGTGACGGATCTCGTCGGCAATGATCACTTCGAGAAACTCGCGTGTTCAACGCGTAACAGGATTCGTTAAAGGGACCTTCACTTTGATCATCATTGTTAAGCGAAGATTCATCAACATCTTCAGAATGATCGGCCTGATAATTTAAGGGTAGAACTTTGAGAACGTTGTGGGAAGCAGGTTTTCTGCACGTCCCGACACGTAGCAATTCCAAATCCGAGAAATGGAGTTTCTCTATCTTCTCGTCAATAAACGGATGATAAGGATAAGTTTCTGAAGTAAGGAGTACTGATGGATAACCAGATTCTGCTAAAAGTCAATCATGCGTTGTTAAACACGCCATCAGTCTGTAACAGTATTCACATCAAATCTCAAACCTCGTGAAAAATACCCATGAGATGAAATGAAACCACGGAGCCAAGAACGGATGACGAATTGCGTTCAATGGTGTAAGACGCAAACCTAGAAAAAATACAACACGCATGACAGATATGAGTTCCATTACAGTGCATAAAGTTTGGGATTTTTTGCATTAAAAGGGATTGAAAGCCGGAAAAGGAACACTGGTGTTGCCCTATCGTCATGAAAACAATAACTTTGTTCAATTCTCCCAGCGATAAACGATGTGCACTTACAAGGATCGAATGCCAAATATTTCGTCACAAAGTCAGCGAAAATGAAGTCAGTCGATTTCAATTTTTTCATCACGTTAACAACTTTTTTACAATGACCTATCAAGCAAAGTATGAAAAATAGGAACTGGGAAACATTAAAACTTATGATTAATTGCGCATGTGTACCGTGTACCAACGAGTTACGAGAAACAAATTTCTTAAAATCTGTAAAATATTTTCCCTCCTCGTATGGAGACAAAGGTAGTGGTCCTAACAGTGAATGCATCTAAAACAGAGACGTTGCTTTTTGAAATGCAGCTTGCATATTATTTTTGCCAAAACTGTATTGCTACCTTATATTTTATTTTTCCTACACAACTTTTATAGCTAGATTATCCTAAATAGCATTAACAAGTCTAACCAATATTTTACAAGTCTAATCATGAATATATTGAAGATCATACTTGCTCCAGTATTTCCTCTTTTGAAGTCGCGAGAAATAGCGGTTCTCCCAGATAAAGCTAAAAACAATTGAAAAAAAACACGCTAATTCTTATTTTTTTGCTATTCCCACAACTTTATACTTCATATAATTTGTTATAACTCATGCTGTTCTGCAAATTATTCTTTAAGCATTCTGCATCAAAACAAATGTCTCTAATGATTGGTTTAATGTTGAAGATGCTGCATTTAACAAAGAAATCATTTTTAGCTCTATATACAGTGCGGACCATACATGAATGATTTAGTATCAAAAACGAGTTGATGGATGCAGAATGCTTCCCCATGTTCCAAATGTTACTAATCAAGTACGGCTGATTAAGTTACCAAGTATGGTCAAACTGTCTATATACCTCTGTTAGTACACAAGCCAGCGACCACATGTCAATCTGATAACCAAATGGTAAGCCGAACATAACTTCCGGGGCTCGATAAAAGACAGTTTGTAATTCAAACGAGTCAAAATATAGAGACATCTGAGAGTAACAGAAAAAGATTATCCATATACATATAAATGTTCGCTCATAGCATGGACAAATTTTCTAGGGTGGGGGTAGGGGAGTAAATTGACACTGGCCTATATAGATTTCATGTCCTAATTAAATTGTTCACTTCTCTAAGAAATATTTTAACCATTCAAATCTTTAGCAAAAAAATCAGTAGTGCAGTTGAGCTGAATTTTTTTGGACAAAGTTTCAACTCTTCTACACTAATTTTATGCTTCATCCATTGCGTAAATAGTATAACATATGAATGAAATACAATTCATTTTACTTCAATTATCTTACCCAAGGTCCGAATTATCGCAAAAAATTGCTTCGCAACTTTTTTCGAATAAGTTCCTACCGACCCCCCCCGTTCCGATCGACCCCCCCCGATTTACTTTCCTCTCGCAATTTTTACAATGCACATGATTACGCCAATATTTTTTATTAATTTTAAAAACTATAAACTAAAATCCTCGCATTCGTTCTCTTCCAAATCGGAAAGCGTAGCTGCTGCAATATCAACAACGTTTGTAGATGACGCTGACTTTGATTGCCTTTCTGCTGGATACTTTCGTGGTTTTGTACCATTTGGGCGTCTAATCTTTTGCTCTAGCCAATATTGGAGAGCTTCCTCCGCATTGAATTCAGCTAGCGGGCATCCTTCTTCACCAATTCTTAGCTGAGCGTCGAGTCATTGTGTACTCAAACAATTTCGCAGAGTTGTCTTAATTCTGTTCATTCGGCTAAATAAACGCTCCACCTTGGCATTCGTGAATGGTGTTATGAGCAACAATTCAATTATATGCAGTACATTTTTGCACTCTTTTTGCATTATAACATTTTCCCAGATGCTTTGCCATACATTTACATATTTTCCTTTTTTTCTGCTCCAACTATGAAGCTTTTGACGTGGCACTAGTAGAAGAAATATTCAGTTATCCAACTGTATAATACGAAAGGAAAACGATGCATTTACTATTCAAACCTTCAAACGATTCCATTCTGAGACGACTTCGTCAATTGTGCATCCATTCTGAACAAGTAAAGCCTGGTAAAATTCTTTCAGTTCTAAAATTGCCTTGTCGCCATACCGCTTAAGTGCTTCGTCGTCCTTGGGCCACATTGCAAAGTCCAATATGACTGGCAGATTTTTAAACACCACACTTTCTCGGAACTCTTCAAATCTTCCTTGCACACTCCTAGACACTGCATTAATCATTTTTTCATAAGTTTTCGTTACTTTCCTCCGGGACGCATTAAAGCCTTTTAGCTTTATTTTTTGGTAAGAAACATCTTCAGAAACAGAAAAGGCTATGTTACGACATAAAGTATTACATTTACAAAACACTAATTATAACATTTAAAAGTACCTGCTTCATCTTCATCGTCTTCAAGTTCTTCCACTTGATGCCTGGTAATTTTTTGACGTTTTGTCAAAGATTGTTGAGGTTCTACTGTGTAAAAAAAAACATTTCAAGCGTACGTAAAATCAGGGACTCATTCATCAATTACTTACCATCGTCGGACGTTGTGGCTTCGCACTCCTTCAAAAACCGTGTAAAATTAATAAGTTTTTCGGAGTCGTCCTGAACGCATTTATTGATCAATTCTTTTAGTTTGACCATAGTCCACTCAAATTCATTAATGCGCTTCACCGCTTTAACAGGGTCGTGAACTTCCTTTTGGAATCCCAGGCTAAGAACCTAAAAATAAAAGTCACAACTCTTAATTTTGCACCAGATTATATATGTTGTGATGAGACAGCAAATCTGAACATTGAAGCGTTATACTAATTACCTTCAAAGGCGTCAAAATGTCAATGTATACTGTCATCAGCATAGGATACTTTGCATACGTCCATTTTGACAAAAAACCCTTCAATTCTTCTCTTTTTGCTGGCACCGAATCTGTTTGGGACAATGACTCAATGTGTAGCATGTATGCGCCATAATTGGCAACAAAGGTCTCCATGGCTTTCAATTGTTGGGTGATCCATCTCGTTCCAAAGGCTTTGGCTGACTTTGCTATGCTCTTTTCGAAAATATCGCTGAATCCCTTCAATTCGCGATAGCGCTTTGCCGACTTTTGGTACAAGTAATACAATTTAGTCAGGAGCTCATCCACTTCGTCAAATTCTGATTAAATGAGTAATGTATATATTATGAACACATTATTCTGAAATTCAACATCTTAAACAAAAGAAGTGTCTAACTGTTGTGACACCATACCTGTTCCTTTAAATGCGTCTTTAACAGCCAGTTAGGGGCGATGGTTGAAGCAATGAATAGTAAGCAGCCATGGTGAGTCCATCCACATTTAGCGCTGCCAGTTGTCTTGGGAAATTGTTCATGTGAAACCGGGAAAAGCAATCCTGTATCATCTTCTTAAGGCCATCTGCTCTTGTTGATGTAGGTGATTCAATTGCTAAAAACCTTATTTGAGGGATACCTGTCCATTGAAAAAATAGAAATAACGCATCTAAAGACAAGAATCGAAATAATTCCGTTCAGTGTATTGCATTTACCTTCACTGCTTATAAAAAGGAGATACAAAACTTCCTGTTCAGAAACGCTTTTGTCAGTGCTGGCGTCGGTCAACAAAGAAAAATAGCGTGTTTTCTTCAATTCAGACATCAGCTTCTGCTTGAGTTTGTCAGCAATTGAATCAGTGATGTTTGCCATAGCACGCTCGTTTCAGAATTTGGAACTGCGAATCATTCCGTTCATTCCGTTTAACGTAATGATGCCCTCACTATCGCTATAGGGTCTTTCTGAAGTGGCTAAATAGTAGGCAGTGTTGAAACGAGTAATCATTACTTTCCTGTCAATCTCTGCCATTTTCATCAAACCTCTTCCAATTGGAGATCGTTCAACAACTTGTGCGCCAAAAGTTTCGCCCAAGGACTTCCGATCAAAAAGACGTTTTGCATGTTGATGTGCTTTACCTTGGACATGTTTTTTCAAGCTATCTAATTTGACAGATGTTGTCCCATCTATCCATGCTTGTGAAAAACCAGGTATTGAAGAAATTGTTGAGGAGAATTCCACACAGACAGAACATTTTAACGCTTCTACTTTTTTCTTATCTGTACTAAGACTTTTGATCAATTTAACGTTTAAATCTCGCTCCCAATTTTCTACAGTCTTTTTCTTCGCCATCGTTAACGTATGCAGTGTGTATTAGTTTGTGACTTTGTCACTTCGCGTTTTCAGATAATATTGAAAATGTTACGTTTCATATTACAATTGATAGCGACGTTTTTTAAAAAGTTGCGACCATTTTAGGATAAATTCCTGTTAGTCACATTCTTGAGGCATGATGTAATAGCAGCGCTTTGAAATTATGCAAATAGTGCAAGAAATTTGATCATTTGATATTTCTTTTGACGTATTTTAAAACTTAGGGAGTGGTCGCAAAGCATAATAAAAACACATCCATCACAGCAATATAAAAAGAGTGCTTTCAGTAATAAAGCAAATTTAATATAAGCAAATTTACATTAAATAACAAGAAATGCGAAATGAGCTTCGCAATTTTACGAAATTTGCTTCGCAATATTTCGCCAAAATCGAAATCACTTCGCAATTTGCGATTTGCGAAGCGCTAATTCGGACCTTGTTACCTCTTTGTGAACACAATAAATGGCATTGCCCAGGTCTATTAATTTGACATTTTTTCTATTTGCTGTTAGATAAAACAATTGTACTTAGAATCGTTGTCATTGAATCCTTATCTAGAGTTTAATTTTAAACACATACCATCTGTGAAGAGAATATTTTCAGGTTTTATGTCAGCATGAATGATATTCAAACTAAAAAGCAAATATAAATGAGTTGGTAAATGAAAAATACTATACCAATCGTGAGGAAAACATATTCATTGTACCTTGATAATACAACAAGACTTTGAGTTACCTGTTATGATAAAAAAGTACTTTTAATCCAGTAAATAAAATTGGAATTATCACAAAATATAATTTATACAAATACTTGAAAAGCTATTCTTCACAAAGAGTTCAATCTTTCCACCTGTAAGATAAAATACAAAGTATAAAATACAAAATATAAAATATAAAATACAAAATAAATAAGTACTTAAAAAAGACCTTGAAGACACTTAACTGGACATAAAACCACAAAATATTTTTCTTACCTTGTTTCAGAATGGAAACATCTAAACAAAAAAGAATATACAAACAAGAAATAATAAATAATTAACAAATAGACATTTCTCCAGGGCAGGAAAATGTCAAATGAAAAACATGTAACCAATGTGATGAATGTAGTATCATAACATTGTTTTAATACTTGTAAATACTTGTAAATGGGTTTTGGTAATACCTGAAAATACTTGTAAATGGGTTTTGGTAATAGAAATTTGAAGACTATGCAAAAATGATTTCCAATAGCAAACATATTCTACAAAACAGAGGAGCAAGTGTTGAAAGTTTTCTTCATTAAAGTCATAAGGTATTTATAAGAAAACATGTTGTTACCAAGAAATGAGCAATGTTAGAAACATTATAGGCATCAGAGTTCCTTAAATGGAGTAGACAACTTGCTTCCTACATGAATAATGGTAATTGATGACTAGGTGCTGCTAGGTTTGTTGTGAGCTGCAAATTTTGTAAGTGAAAAGTTTAATTTTATTAAATGTCTTTTTACCTATAAAATAACAACATAAGGATATGTCGCACATGGCAGGGATTTTTCTTACAAAAGGATATGTCACACATGGCAGGGATACATTGTGATGTAGTGTGATGCATTGTGATGTAGTGTGATACATTGTGATGCATTGTGATGTAGTGTGATGCATTGTGATGCATTGTGATGCATTGTGATGGATTGTGGTACATTGTGATGTGGTGTGATGCATTGTGATACATTGTGATGTACTGTGATATACCATGCAAAATATATTTTTTGGCTAAACAGTATAAAAGTTTGTGATGTCACACAACAGCGTTCGTCATCGTTTGTTATCACAATGCATCACAGTACATCACAATGTATCACAATCCATCACACTACATCACAATATATCACAATATATCACAATGTATCACAATGCATCACAATGCATCACACTACATCACAATGTATCACAATGCATCACAATGCATCACAATATATCACAATATATCACAGTGTATCACAATGCATCACAATGCATCACAATGCATCACAATGCATCACACTACATCACAATGTATCACAATCCATCACACTACATCACAATATATCACAGTGTATCACAATGCATCACAATGCATCACACTACATCACAATGTATCACAATCCATCACACTACATCACAATATATCACAATGTATCACAATGCATCACACTACATCACAATGCATCACAATGCATAACAATGCATCACACTACATCACAATGTATCACAATCCATCACACTACATCACAATGTATCACAATGTATCACAATGCATCACAATGCATCACACTACATCACAATGTATCATACTACATCACAATGCATCACAATCCATCACACTATATAACAATGTATCACAATCCATCACACTACATCACAATATATCACAATGTATCACAATGCATCACACTACATCACAATGCATCACAATGCATAACAATGCATCACAATGTATCACAATCCATCACACTACATCACAATGTATCACAATGTATCACAATGCATCACAATGCATCACACTACATCACAATGTATCATACTACATCACAATGCATCACACTACATCACAATGTATCACAATGTATCACAATGCATCACAATGTATCATACTACATCACAATGTATCATACTACATCACAATGCATCATACTACATCACAATGTATCATACTACATCAAATTACATCACAATTTATCACAATGCATAACAACGCATCATCTTTATTATTGCAATGTATCACAGCATTACAATGTATCGCATTACATCCCAATAGACTGTAATAGCGCATCACATGAGAATACAATATTGTGATTGATCACAGAACAACACTCGAGTGTCGTTATGTCTTGTCATGGAATAAACATTGCGATAAATTCATAAAATAATTGAAAGATTTTATTATCAGAAATCATAAAGATGGGAAACTACAGTCTCCTGCCTTTCTTCAACTAGATGAAATGTTCATGCTCTCTTTTGTCAAAAGTTTTATATTAACTTTTGACATTGGGAATTGCTGGAACACGTCTGATTAACTCAGAAATTTTCAATGATTTTGGACCATTGTCGAGGTATTGCAGTCCAGTCGTTAGAATTGAATACTTTTTTTATTAAAAATTTCGTAAAATTTAAAAGAAACTCACTAAACAATATTTCAGTGTTCGTCAAAGTTCACTAATCTATGAACTTAATTTACGATCTGGCAACTGAACACCAATTGTCAACACTGCCTTCCCAAAATGAAACCCACATAGATCAATGGAAACACAATGGCTTTGACTGCTTGAACCATTGGCTCGAATAGACTTTTGTCGGGCTTACTAGATTCAAGAAAATACTGCGTGCTATAAAACAAATACACTGTTAGATGCTACAAGAGTGGTAAAAAACCCTTTTACCCCTCATTCATATGACAGAAAGCTAAAATCATTCACTTTTGAGTTAACGCATATTTCTTAACAATCGAATATTAGTCGTTTTTAATATTTTGAGTTTTGTGGTTAATTCTATTTTCATTACTTTAAAGTTTTGTTTTATCACTTGACATCGCGTTTCGATTAACCCATTTTGAATATTCAGTATGTTCATATGAAATCCTCCCCCCCCCCTTCATGTAAGGTATCGTCGATTAATCGAGTTGTCTCATCTTAATTGGGTTTTGAGGTATAGTCTGTTGTGTTGAAGTGCATTCCTTTGAACAACTTCATCGCAATTCTTAGTTTTTTCACCAAGTTATATTAAATATAAACACACATCATTAGTATTCCAAAATCAAGTTTTATTATTCGTTCAATTAAATTATGTACATATATGCCAGTTACTGATCACTTGCTGTTAGTTCCTCGGCATTAAAAGATGCTGCAGCTACCTTAAAGTGCACCTCCAGGCAAAATTTTTTATTGGTTATATCGAATCTATGTATGATGGCCAGCATATATGCGAAAAATTTTTTAAATCGGTTATATCTTTCCTTTTTTATGGCGGTTTAAAAATTGGCCTTTGAGGACCCTGTCCGTCGTATCAAGGAGTCTGTGTCTAGCGCATTTTCTGACGTCATGCAAGGTAGTCGGCTTTTTTCTTTGATTGTCTCAGATAAATGCGCTTATTAGGCATATACAATCTTGTTGCACGTGGTCGGACGAAGATGTAGTTTGTTTTTGTCAGAGCTATCATGGATAAGGATGTAATAGATTGGGAATGTGATTCGGAGGATTATCAGTCTGACGACTCCGATATTAATTTTATTCCCGGTTACATGATCGAATGTTCTGAGGTTAGAAATTCTAACAAAGATTTTAATCAAGAAAACGTGGGCCTAGCATATGCTGACGAGCCTTTGGCAGACGAAGAGTGGTTGGAAAATTACAACAGTCAGGAAAAAAACGTTTAGAACTACAAGAAAAGCTCGGCAAAAGACTGGACGGCTCTGTAAAAGTGGACGAGTGGTGTCAGTGCGGAAATTGTGATGTGACGCTACTCGTAAACAATAACGAATGCCATTGTTGTTTTGAACTTGATGGATGCCATGAAGCAATGAAAAGCGACGAAGTGATTAGCGATCTCCAAGCCGAAGGTATAATTAATGCGAAATGCATCATTCAACATCCTGGATTTAACTCCGTATGCCTTGAAAAGTGGAGTTTGAAGATGGCTGCCAGCAAGTTGAAAACGAAAAATAAAAGCAAATACACTAGAATTTCAGGACAGAATAGGTAGTTCTTTTCATGAACAAATCATAAAACATATAATCCCACAATGGACTTCATTAATTCACATAATCTAATACTGAAGTTTCTATTTTAGCTTTCTACGCAGCATCTCCTATAGAGAATTTACAAGACTGGTATATGGTCTCCTTGGTAATAGGCGATTCCCACTACCTGCATGTGCCTACATGGCAATAAGAAAAACATTTCCAGTAGTTGATAAAGAAAATTTTACTGGATATTCTGATGATTCAGATTAGTTAAATTTTCCAAGATGTATAAAGAATGCAAAAATGTAAAAAAAAGCTGGGGTGAGAGTGCGTTGTAAAATATAGATCTTAAAAGAGGTATTGCTTATAATTTTATGGACAGGTGAAAACTAAATTGGTAGGTTGATGCTCCTTTAGCTATAGTTTTTTGGACAATCTTTGACATTTTGTGACCCCTCATTGGTTGTCCACATGTTCTGCAATGTCTGGGTGTCACATCACCAGTACTTGCTTTACTGTTGTCTCTCCTCAACTGTTCTTGATATTGTAACACTGCAAAGACAAATTAAGCTTTCCAGGTTTTGACAACTAAATTTATCTAGTGTTTACATGTTCACTGAGTACAAATCCAAATTTGAATGTGGTTTAGTCAAAACTAGAACAAATTATGAACAACAATCTTTTAGCATAAAAATCTTACCTGGAATACTGGGTTGAAAATGTTGGACAGTGATTTGCATCCTGTCAGACTTTTCTTCAATGCTTCTTGCTTTGTTTGCTTAGTAAGCATTGAATTCATTGAGGCGGGCACATTTCTTTCAGCTTTACCATTGCATCAGCCATGTCCCTCTTGCTAGCTGACAGAAAATTCTCATAAATGTCTTGCACATATCCTGCAAATAATGTTTAATGTCTTTATTTCCAAACATCTTCAAACAACAGGATTACATCATCTAGATAATCAAAAACTTACCAAAATTCTGTGCAACTGTAACATTTCAATTATGGCCTCCCATTTTAAACTTTGGGTAGCTAATTTTGACTCTTTCTGATTGGTCAGGATTTGTTTTGATTTCTCTCCTGAGGTTGTTGTTAAAGTGCACAACAGCTAAAATATGCCTAAAAACAGGATTCACATAAATTGCAATTGCTCTTTGCATTCATCTTATTTGTCCTTTAATAAAAAGAAAAACTGTGTTTTGAGTAAAAGGTATTATATACAACTATAACTAGTAACAACAGACATTTTAGTAAATGATAGTTCATTTTCCCACCTGCAATACTGTCCAGCATAACAGTATGCAATCATTTTGGGGGCAAAATGATTTAAAACACTGTGAAAGCCCTCCAAACAGCTAGTTTGTTCTAATGGAGAAGCTTGTTTGATCCCATCTACCAGTCGTTTGTTTGTCAAAGCATTGCAAATCTTTTTATGAAGGGGTGAATCTAGATATAAAAACAAATTAAATCATGTAACTCCATTTTATATTAAACCTGTACTTGTATAAATTAAAATTGCTAGCCTCCAGATTTGGTCAAGTTAAGTGTGGCTGGCTGCACCACCATTTGTACATGTACTAAGAAATAATGTCATATTTTGATCTTTGGCATAGTGTTCATTGTACACAGTTTACACAAAATATATATACATTATTTGAACTTACCAACGGTCAGCCACTTTCTATCTGGAATGCTACTACCATGGGCACATTTTGCAAACAACGGGTTACTGTGACATGAGTGTATGTTTACAATATGTTGTAGGAATGACTTGAATTTGGCCAATATAACAAGGCCATTCCCATCAAATGTTGAGGTGGCACTCCAATGCAGGTGATTATCAATTGGCCTGATCCAATCGTGTAATGCCTCGCAGTCCTTCTCTTTGGCAATTTTGGAAAGCACTTTCCTAATTTCTGTATGTAACAGAACATCCAACCAGAAAAATTATGTCAAAAAGTGGAAACAATGACAATGAAACAATACTTCCTCTTTTATAGACATTCAGTGATGTTAATAGTTCAGTGACGACTTCATACTTTCAAGATGCCTTTCCTTGCTGCATACTTTTTATCATCTTCACATGAAAAGAAAACGTATATTTTAAGTAAAATTACATAGTAGGACTAAACATTGCAAATAAATTCAAAACAAAAATATGTTGAATCAAATCAAAACTTACTCACCATGCGTCTATCTCTAGCACTTTGCACGACCAGTTCACTGGAACTTTTCACCGCCACAGCATGTATGCTGGGATAAACACAAACCCCTAGATCATCGCTCTTTAGCTTCTGGTAATAGACCACTTTGGCGGTTTTCAAAAATGTGGAAACACGTGTTTGCTAAAGAGAAAAACTCGGACAAACATGGCGGAATTTTATAACAATGGTTACGACGAAGAGGTGCGCTTGGGGAACCTGCAAAAGCGATTCGCGGTATCCTGATCGTTTCAAACGAGACGCAAGTAGAACCAAAGTATTTTTTTTACATTTTCCTGGGGAGAAATACCATAGCGACAAGCGAGAGCGCTGGATTCGTGCGTGTCATCGAGGTGACAGATTTGTGTGTACGAAAGTTAGTTATATTTGTAGTCTTCATTTTGTGGGAGAAAATGGTCCTACTGTAGATAACCCAGACCCTATTTAGCGATACAAAGTATTGAGAATGTAAGTGTTGACTGCTTTTTTGTCATAAATGTGTGAATTATACGAAAGCTTGCTCAACGTTTTATAAGCTTATACATCATTTTAAATTCATATAGAGAAGAAAACTAACGGGAAAACGAAAAAACCAATGACGAGGGTATATAATCCGCCACCAAAATGAGCGTCAATCTCCAAAAAAGATGCAGCATAGGCTCTTCTTTGCTTGAGCGAAAGGGAACACTCTAAAAGAGACGCAGCTGACGGCCTCCTATCCTTATGTGAAAATAGTACAACATCCCGTGATATCCAAAAGGACCAAGACGAACTTCTTGTTTTAAAGAAAAAAGATGCTGCTGCTCAAACCAACCTAACTCATGAACATCTTAAAACTTATGCGACTGAGTCATTTGTTAACACCAGCAGTATACAGAAATGCATGTTTTTAGAAAATGTGGTTAATGATTCAGCCCATTATACAGGTATAAAATTTCATTTTTTACTATGTTGATTATAACGGGATATAATTGCTTATGTTGGAAGCTAGTGGAAATAATAAAGGACTTTGTCAGCTACTCTGAATTAATTTATCTGTAGGCCTACCAGGTGAAATGTTGAAAATACTTTTTGAGTTCGTGAAAGCAAAGGCTTCCAGGCTTATCAAATGGAAAGGGAAGAAAACAGCAAAATATAAACAAGAAAAAAGAGCAGTGCTAGGGTACAGTAATATATAATCATACATATTGCTCAAGTAAATACTCAAGTTAATAGTTGTGTAATGCAGTTAATAGCTCCCTATGTATAATGAATGATAAGCACTTAATCATTTTTATAGATCCACAAAACTTCTACATGGGCTAAACTTTCAGTTTATGAGCAATTTATATTCACATTGGTCAGGATCAAAAGATTCCCTAGTCTCAAGATGTTATGTGATTTATTTGGAGTGTCAGAAACTGTTGGTAGCAGCATATTCTTGACATGGGTGAAGTTTCTTGAGAAGGAATTAAAGTGATTTATTCCATTTACCACTTTGAAAGACATGGAAGGAATAACCCGGCCTAAAGTTTACGAATCTAATCCATATCTTCGTGCAATAATTGATTGCACAGAATTCTATATACAAAAACCTTCTCTTCCTTCAAGTCAACATCGGACACATAGTAACTACAAAGGCAGAAACACCTTCAAACTATTTATTTCTACGTCACCGCTTCTACATATCAACTATATCTCTACATTGTTCAGTGGTTGCATAAGCGACAAGGAAATCATCAAGAGATGTGGATTGTTGGAAGAGTTAGCTGCAGGGGATGGCTGACAAAGGATTTAATATCCATGATTTACTTGCCCTTCAACATGTCCGTTTAATTTCACCTCCAATTAAGCATAAAGGTAATGTTGGCACTGGTGCAACAACAATGACAAGGAGAGTGGCTACAAAGAGGATTCACATTGAAAGAATTATTCAACAACTGAAGTCATTTAGTATATTACAAGGTGTAATCCCATTAACAATGAAACCATATATTGATTCTGTTGCATCTATCTGTGCAGCATTTGTTAATTTGCAACCACAGATTATTGCATCACCTTAAAAACATTGTATATAGAAGTTTTAAAAAATATACAATAAAATATTCCTTTGTGTTGATAAACTTAGATCAATGCAGAGTAAACAATGTGTGCAAAGTTCTGTGCCATTTATTTATTTCCATTGTGGCATCCTTGTTACTGAACCATTTATGTTCCACGACAATGAAATCATTGGGACATTTCTCATATTTTTCAATATCCTAAAAAATGTTGCGAGATTGAAAAAGTAAGCACTCTTCCCTATGTTATTGCATTGAGTATATCTTTCCTATTATTAAGCTCTAACTTGAAGAAACATGTAGTTTCCATAATTACCTTCAAAAAGTATTTAATAAAAAGTGATACAAAAACAGCACAGAGATTTGAAGAGATTTCCTGCTGTGGGACCTACCAAATAATGCATATAGCAAGATTTATTTGCACAATATATTTTATTGGTGGCATGATAAGAACTCACTTTTAACAGATGAATGAGAATCTTGATCTTCGAATCCATTTACACTCCTTACTTGTAACACTATCCTCTCCTCTAGAATTAAGCAGATCATCAAGAGAATACAAAGCAGATGATACATGCTTACATCCACCATCTCTACCACCAAGACAACAGCAATACGCATCAAGCACACTGCAGCGATTAGACCCGTTTCCTTCCAATATAAACCATAAATCGTAAACGTCTTTACCATCTTTAGTCATTTCTTTCATTGTAGGCTTAACCTTGCCTATATAAACATGGACCCCAGCATCTTGCCTGTATGCTGTTAGCAGACTCAACATATCCATCGTAAAACAAACGATAGTTCTCGAACGACTTATAGGCTGCACGACCCTGTTTGTCGTATTCCGATGAATGATATATAAGATGATTAAATATATCAAACAAGCCGAATCGCCCGAACGGGGGTGAATTTTTAAAATCATTTGAAACATTAATCGTAAATGGATCCGGCAGCTCAACGTCATGGATGGTCAAACGACAACTTAAATTTACTTGCTGCTTGGCTATACTGACTTGCGGGATCAATGGAATGTTCATTTTTTCCACTGCACATGCAATGGCTACTAGTCCCGGCTTGAGGTAACTACTTACGGTTATACCTCTACTCTGCAGTTAACTTTTTAATTCTGGCAGTTTCATAGCTTTGAATTTCTCTTCACGTAACCTTTCTTCCATTTAAGCACTTATATTTTGAAATAAAGAAATGTTAAAATTTATTTTGCAAGAGAGCGAAACATATTTCTATTTCATATAGCAAATTAGTCATTGTTATGACTTCCGCCATGTTTGTCCGAGTTTTTCACTTAGCGAGCACGTGTTTTTATTCAAATAAAACCGCCAAAGTGGTCTATTCGGCTTTGTTTGACCAGGCAAAATAGCAAAGCGTCGCTCGAAATCCTCGGGCGTAAAATGTGCCGAACAAAGGGTCGACGTCTTCGAAGGTTCAAAGACCCGTTTTGCTTTGACGAAGTCAGCCCATATTTTTCTTCTTCTCCTGGCTTCAGGTCGATTGTCATTAAAGTAGGGTATTGTGTGGAGACTTATACCGGAACTAAGACATGACTTATTCGTGCAATTTGCCGCCACACAGCTATTATATTAACCATGTTTTTAGTTTTCATAAACTGCACGTAATGTATTTAAAAACAACGGCCTTACTTTGACGAGTACCTTGCGTGACGTCATAAAATTTGCTCGTTCCAGGTTCTTGTAACGACGGACATGGTCCATCAAGAAGTGCATTTTTGTCAACTTCAAACCGCCATAAAAAAGGAAAGATATAACCGATTTAAAAATTTTTTCGCATATATGCTGGCCATCATACATAGATTCGATATAACCAATAAAAAATTTTGCCTGGAGGTGCACTTTAACTCCCTTTCTGAATATTATCTTCTATCTATGTCATCGGAAAGAAAGTATCTAAGCGATTGAAAAAAAGCTAGAGAGTAGATGTTCCCCTATTGATAACCCGGAAAAAAATGAAGATAGTTGCCACGTAAATAAGTGTTAAAACAATATGCCAATACAATTTCAAAAGAAAATCCCATGGTTCTAATGTCAAAATTTACAAAATCTTTTTATAGTTACAGAATCTTTTCATCGAGAGCGCAATGTTATCAGTACTAAAACACAACTTAAATTTAATAAGGGACCATGCATAAACATTAAACATATAAGACACACCTGTTTAATTTAATATAACAACCAACACACAACCGAGTGCCTGTATCGTAATAAAATCTTCCAACTGTATATAGTAAGCAACGTTATGCTTATAATCACGATAACCACAGCACTAAAACATATAAATATCCACGTCCATGCAACTCGTTGCTTTTCATCTGAGACTGGGTAATGATCTATCACAAATTAAATAATAACCATAAGAATTCGAAAATTTCATTGGTCGAGAGCTATGATCCATAAGTGAACATACGCAAGGAATTAACGTCACAGAAATTTCTTGTATTTAAATGAAAAACGAACGGTGAAATTGCTGGAATATTTACCTAAATTTATCGTAGAATGGGCAAATGAAGACATTAAAAATACCGAGTTGAAGCAATCGACGTATTTGAGCAAAAAAAAAGAAAAAACCCCGTTTGTAAACGATAATTTGTAAAACTGCTGAAAAACTGTCGATAACAAAATTTTAACAAAATTGATTAGCCAATGTTTGTTCATCTGTTAGCTAATCGCATTTAATCACGTGACTAATCTACTCAATACCAGTCAATACCATTTCTTTAATCCTATTAGATCATGTACGCGTGATATTTGCAAAATCAAGACTTTTCAATTTTTCAAGTGTTGGGGAACAAAGAAAACAAACTGTTAGCAGTTTAGTTTGTGAATTTTTTCGATTGTATTAGATAAAACGGCGGCTCGTGAATACTTTTTTAGTTCTGATTACAAATGACGTTATACCTGTGTATCTACTGCTGTATTGACAACGGTTAAATGTTATCTATTAGTTAATTTAAAACTCTTTTATTGTGCAAATTGGTAACGTTACAACACGATACCAAAATCCTTTTAAGAACTAATAAGAGGTGAAATAACAGTAAAATATGTGGGAGCCTACATCTGTCATTTGTTGTACTACGTGATAATACTATTTCGATAAGTCTGTTTTTAACATCCCCAACACTCATTTTTGGAAACAATAATTGTGTTTAATGACAGTTCAACGAGAAAGGGCGTTTCTACAAAAGTAGAACGTGAATCTCGATATACTACAAGTCGCCATTTTAAAAGCTCAATTCTCTTCAAACTTTTTGTACAGAGAGTATGTGTATACAACTTTCTTCAAGAAAGTTCCAAGCCCATTAGCAGCTGATTCGTTGATGTTTTTTATGTTAAATTAACATTCCATCATGTTGTACAAAAAATAACCAAGTGAGCAACACCTTGCATCTTCAACTGACATTTTGCAAAGGTGTTTTATCACGATAACAACGGACAACTAAAGCAGACATAATTTATGTTAATATAATTACCAACATACCATCGTTAAAATGAACAGATTGATTTGGTGCAACCATAACTGTCGACTGAATTCTCTCTACATGTGACGTCGTCGTTGAGATTTTGTTATAATCAAATGCTGAGAGAAAGTCGTATATAAATAAAGCATAAAGAGTAGGATACAACTAGCCTTACTGTTATGAAAACCTAAAGCAATTGTAGGGAGAAATACTACGTGATAATACTATTTCGATAAGTCTGTTTTTAACATCCCCAACACTTATTTGTGGAAACAATAAATGTGTTTAATGACAGTTCAACGAGAAAGGGCGTTTCTACAAAAGTAGAACGTGAATCTCGATATAGTACAAGTCGCCATTTTAAAAGCTCAATTCTCTTCAAACTTTTTGTACAGAGAGTATGTGTATACAACTTTCTTCAAGAAAGTTCCAAGCCCATTAGCAGCTGATTCGTTGATGTTTTTTATGTTAAATTAACATTCCATCATGTTGTACAAAAAATAACCAAGTGAGCAACACCTTGCATCTTCAACTGACATTTTGCAAAGGTGTTTTATCACGATAACAACGGACAACTAAAGCACACATAATTTATGTTAATATAATTACCAACATACCATGGTTAAAATGAACAGATTGATTTGGTGCAACCATAACTGTCGACTGAATTCTCTCTACATGTGACGTCGTCGTTGAGATTTTGTTATAATCAAATGCTGAGAGAAAGTCGTATATAAAAAAGCAAAGAGTAGGATACAACTAGCCTTACTGTTATGAAAACCTAAAGCAATTGTAGGGAGAAATACTACGTGATAATACTATTTCGATAAGTCTGTTTTTAACATCCCCAACACTTATTTGTGGAAACAATAAATGTGTTTAATGACAGTTCAACGAGAAAGGGCGTTTCTACAAAAGTAGAACGTGAATCTCGATATACTACAAGTCGCCATTTTAAAAGCTCAATTCTCTTCAAACTTTTTGTACAGAGAGTATGTGTATACAACTTTCTTCAAGAAAGTTCCAAGCCCATTAGCAGCTGATTCGTTGATGTTTTTTATGTTAAATTAACATTCCATCATGTTGTACAAAAAATAACCAAGTGAGCAACACCTTGCATCTTCAACTGACATTTTGCAAAGGTGTTTTATCACGATAACAACGGACAACTAAAGCACACATAATTTATGTTAATATAATTACCAACATACCATGGTTAAAATGAACAGATTGATTTGGTGCAACCATAACTGTCGACTGAATTCTCTCTACATGTGACGTCGTCGTTGAGATTTTGTTATAATCAAATGCTGAGAGAAAGTCGTATATAAATAAAGCATAAAGAGTAGGATACAACTAGCCTTACTGTTATGAAAACCTAAAGCAATTGTAGGGAGAAATACTACGTGATAATACTATTTCGATAAGTCTGTTTTTAACATCCCCAACACTTATTTGTGGAAACAATAAATGTGTTTAATGACAGTTCAACGAGAAAGGGCGTTTCTACAAAAGTAGAACGTGAATCTCGATATACTACAAGTCGCCATTTTAAAAGCTCAATTCTCTTCAAACTTTTTGTACAGAGAGTATGTGTATACCACTTTTTCAAGAAAGTTCCAAGCCCATTAGCAGCTGATTCGTTGATGTTTTTTATGTTAAATTAACATTCCATCATGTTGTACAAAAAATAACCGAGTGAGCAACACCTTGCATTTTCAACTGACATTTTGCAAAGGAATGTTAATTTAACATAAAAAGCATCAACGAATCAGCTGCTAAATAAAGCATAAAGAGTAGGATACAACTAGCCTTACTGTTATGAAAACCTAAAGCAATTGTAGGGAGAAGGGTGGGGTGAGATAAAAATTCATCCTTAATATGACATATAGTGACAAATTATTGTGCCAGAATATTGATTTATTATATTTGCTAAGATAGTAATTTATTAGGAAATTTCTCAAGGTTTTGAGAGCCTTTTCTCAGAGCTCAGTAAATTATTGAAATAAAGAAAATTCGAAATTTTTCATACTTTGCTGTTAACAAAATCTCCTACCTTTTGTAAATGAGGACATCATTGATGATGGTGACAACATGTAGCTCCTTTTAGAGGACGCTAAAATTCCATCAAGATATTGATGTTAAAAGTTAAATATACAACACAATAATTCACAACAAAATTATTTTGTTTCTAAATGATAAAAATAGTTACAACTGCATTGATCACAATACTTCAGCAATGGATAAAAACAAAGTAGTTACGTGTACATAAATTTATCAGCAGAAGTGAACTTTTTTAGTTTTTCATTCATACCACCTCTACCAACCCTACATTGACCGGCATCAGTCAAAATTTTAACGTTGTTGCCAAGATAATAAAGCTCAGATAATAAAGCATATATTGATGAATGAAACAAATAAACAAAAATGTGCGCAACGCAAATTATGCAACATGCGCGAAGACTACAACTGCTTGTACATTTATTGTAAAAATAATATTCTCTAACCACTTTCTGATCGATATATTGTTGAGGCCATTAAAAAAAGTGTTGGCAACATAGATGATTTAAATTTTGGTTCACCAGAGTTTTGAGCTTGCAAAGAACCAGACATACCACCTATATAATGAAGTAGCTATATTTAATTTCTTAATTTATAAGACAACGTAGACACACACTTTTATCATAAATATGACTTTACCCTTTATCCATGAAGTAATCAGGCTGCTGGAAGTATATGTAGCTATGAAAATGAATAAAATAAACCTTTCAAATATAAATTTAAAGAAAACTTTTTTGTTATGCATGCATAACTATATACGCATGCAGCATTTCCAAAACAGAATCAAAATGCAATGTTTATGAATAAAAATACTAAGAACTAAGCTGCGAGGGTTCCTGGCGCAGGAAATATAGAAAAATGGACTATTTTCACTTATTGTTCAAGTGCAGTTTGCATCCCTTTTTTAAAATATCATTGTTTATTTTTACAATTCGTGATTATCAATTACAAATCCAAAAAACGATCTTTGATTCCAATCATTCAAACGAAATTATATTACCACAACCGTTGCCGATTTTAACTGTTCATAAAATGAAGCCATTTGGAGAGCCAATCATATTTTTCTCTGAATATACTGTGAATAATATATACAGATTTGATGTTGCCCGTCAAATCTTTCAAACTGCGAGAGTTCCTGGCGCATTTAATACAGAAAAATCGACTATTTTCATTCACATTTCAAGGGCACTTAGCACCTTTTTTTAAATACCAATATTTATTTTTTTCTCTCCTATGAGCTCTGGGTGGGCAGAGCCATGGACACCCAAGCATTTAATTTGCAAAGGGGGTAACCTAGACGGTGCTATTTATAAAAATAAAGATAAAAAAGTACGTTTATATTTAGACTAGCTAACGCATTGAATATTTCTCATTGAAAGTCATTACTGAAATCGTGTTAACGGTAGTAAATTGAAAATTCTATAATTGTTTTTTTTCTGTATATGAATTGAAAACCAGTTAGTATTGTGTTCTACGAACGATTATTAAGAAAATGTTTATGTTGTTTAGTTGTCAGAGTTAGACGCAGTGGGCACTCAGGGGTGAGGGACACCCAAACCTAAAATGATCACGGGCAGCTTAGTTCAAACTGACGCAACTGGATTTCGGGGCTTTGGCTGTTCATAAAATGAAGTGATTTGGTGAATGGATTATATTTTCAATATACTGCTAATCATATACACAATTTGGTATTGTCAAAACTGTTGGTGGAAAAAGTTGCATATCTCTAAATCTTCATTTATACGACTGACACGATGCTAATTACTTCAAACAAAATGTTCAGAGAAATTAAGTAATCAAGTGCTAACAGCGCCATGTGAGACCATAGACAAATAAAAGTAATGTGGTTTGTTGCAACTTCGGTTTGATTCGTGCATTTTTTGTTTCTTGTAATTCTGTTGAATTATAAATATTTCATTAATAAAAAGATCTATTTAAATGGCAATCATTTGACATGACTATCGAGTGGTACATTTTTTATCAGAAAAAAGGCACACAAATGCTCTCACACAGTCATAAAAAGATTTGCAGATGATATGAATGCTCCGTGGCAGTGCAGACAACATTTTGTACCTCTACTGTGCGGAAGGCGCGAAGTAACAAACACTGACCTGTAACTAAAATTGTGATTTGTGAAGAATAAGAACGAAGACCAACTCTCGTATCGAATTTGTCTATGATAGTTAGTTGCGCCAAGACTTGCCATCGGTTGTATTTAATGGAGATGTTATTTAAAGTTATGCTCGAGAAGGTGGAATTCATATATGAATCGTCAACTTGGTTCGGAAAAATGTCCAAGAAACCATTATCAATAAACATCCAACAAATTATAGCTCCATTAGCGGACCATTGTACGGAATAATTTTCAGGCCAGCTTATATTTCCTTTACATTCATACGAAAAACTAAGAGTCAAGTTTGACCCCAAAGGAGCATGAACAAAGTAATTTTGAGGTGTCGTAGTTATGCGACATGAATCTAAAAGAGATAAAAATAATTAATGAACATTTAGAAAATTGTCGGAGAAAAGTTGTCGGAATTAAGGGAATAAGTAACAAACATAAGTATAAACGATGGACTGCTAGTAGTTGTGTCTTACCCGATCTTACTAAATTGCCATTCTCGTACACAAACTTCACAAAAAACACACCAAAGAAATATTTCCAAACTGGATGTGTAAACATAAATAAATCTTCTATTCCGTTGCTCAAAAACCTAATTGTCTTCAAGCTAAGAAAAAGAATTGAAAGTATTAAAGTTAGTAGTTCCATCAAAAAACATGTGTATGTCGTACAGCATAATGGCAAAAGTAACAGACAAAAACACAAGTTTGATGAGCGAAAGAAGGCTTTCAGATGACGTTAGTTTTAAGGTACGTTTACGCTTACACACAACGATTTGTCGAGCCGATACTGACGCAATATTACGTGATTCTTGCTATATACGTATGCATGCAAAAAAAAACAAGAAAAAAAATGTTAATTCAGTGAAAACTATGGCAAGGATCTAATTAAATCCAAACATATAATGCAACAAGTGCTAACTCTAACAGATAAAGAAGATAACTCTTTCATTAGTTAGTTCATAGTGATTTAACTGGTTTTGAACATATAATGCAACAAGTGCTAACTCTAACAGGTAAAGAAGATAACTCTTTCATTAGTTAGTTCATAGTGATTTAACTGTACACATGGATATAGACAATTACGTAAACACTTATCCCTCTCAATTCTTTATCTAACCTAATAAAGTGGTGTGTTGAAGTCAGTTCGGTTGATTGTGTAAGGTTGCATGGCCAAACGTTACGTCATTGAATGCAAGTCTTTTCTCCTAATGTCTGTTATCTCCAAAGCGTACTCGATCAGTTGTCTATGCTTCAAGGGGCGGTGGCACGAAGCCAGTATAGCGTTATCCACTGGATAGCAGGTTTTTTAAACTTTTATAAAAAATATTAAAAAGAAAAAAGTATAAGATTCGAACTGAGCGATCACAGAAATAATACATTGTTTCGAGGGTTAAGAAATTTTTTTGTCGTATAAAAAATATAAACACCATTTTTACAAGTTAAAAAATTTTTGCTATCCAATGGATAACGCTATCCAGGCTTTGTGCAACCGGCCCTGAGCAATAATATTCGAGTAATAACAAGCGTTTGTGTGTATCTAATATTCAAAATTAAAAAGTGTGTGTATTTTTTAAATCTACAGCTTACAAGCCTGATATTTGATATTGCTAAATCGAGCAGCTTATTCATGACCATGCAAATTACGCTCGCTTGACAAAGATTGCAATATGTTGGTGATATTTCCGGAAGACTAACAAAAATCCGTTGACGTTTTTTTACATATTAGCAAGTTGACACAGCGTGCTGTATTTTTTTAATAAAACAACATATACGCTTTATGGAAATTACATACACTATTCACAAATAATATGCATTACATGTTCAACTATAGTTATGCGTCGTACATATTATACATCACAGCTTTACTGGTCAAGCTGCAAATACTAAAAAATGTAACGGCTATCAGCCTGCTCATGAAGTTCAAGTCAACAATGTCACTGCAGGCATTGCTGCATGCAAAATATGGTAGACAGTGGCAGTGTGCTTGATGCGTATTGCTGTTGTCTTGGTGGTAGAGATGGTGGATGTAAGCATGTATCATCTGCTTTGTATTCACTTGATGATCTGCTTAATTCTAGAGGAGAGGACAGTGTTACAAGTAAGGAGTGTAAATGGATTCGAAGATCAAGGCCTGATACAGCACCGTGCAAGCTAGAAGATCTTCAAATAAAAAAAGTGGGACTTAAAGATCAAGGAAAGAAAAGAAAAAGAGATGAAGCATACAAACAATACATTGACTATGACCCACGTCCATTTACGGACAGGGGACCCTGTTTACATGAACAACTTGTTAATGTAGTAAAATCAATGGATGAAATAAAGAAGAAACCACCTATACTATCCATTTTGAAGAAAGAAGTGTATGGCATGGATGAAATTCTGGAAAAGAATAAAGAATTAGATAAAGAATCATCCAAGCATGGAATAATGGAAAAAAAAGATAATACAACATCTGCAAAGCAATCACCAAGCAAATGCAGATGGCTTCTTAGAAAGTCTCCACTTCTCAAATAAGGAGATTGAGGATATTGCTTCAGTCACTAAAAAGCAATTTCAATGTAGTGAATGGTACACTCATAAAAGAGGATTTATAACTGCCTCAAAAGCTAAGAATATTAACACAAAGCAGACTTCCATTGAGAAACATGAGACGGATGTTTCTTCTCTCATAAAATTGTTAACAGAACAAAAAGATGTTGCAACAATGAGAAAACATTTGGTTGATGATCCTAAAAATCCACTCGATTGGAGACTGAAACATGAACAAGATGCTTGGAAAGCTTACTATAGTGTTCAAGCAAATAAACATAAATAACTTAGTTTAATTTCAAAAGGCTTCATGATTTCAAAAGATACACCTTTTCTTGGTGCTACTCCTGACAACATTACAAGTTGTAAGTGTATGCCTAAATGCGATAGTGTTGTAGTGGAATATAAATGTCCGTGGACCCACAAATATCGTGATCCCAAAGAGGCATTCCTGCAGCATGAGATTGGTGGTAGATGGGAAAATGGCAAATTTTTTCTTCATGAAAAGTCCAGTTACTTTTACCATATTCAAGTGCTCATGCATGTTACTGGTAGGCCTACAGATAAATTAATTCAGAGTAGCTCACAAAGTCCTTTATTATTTCCACTAGCTTCCAACATAAGCAATTATATCCCGTTATAATCAACATAGTAAAAAATGAAATTTTATACCTGTATGATGGGCTGAATCATTAACCACATTTTCTAAAAACATGCATTTCTGTATACTGCTGGTGTTAACAAATGACTCAGTCGCATAAGTTTTAAGATGTTCATGAGTTAGGTTGGTTTGAGCAGCAGCATCTTTTTTCTTTAAAACAAGATGTTCGTCTTGGTCCTTTTCGATATCACGGGATGTTGTACTATATTTTCAGATAAGGATAGGTGGCCTTCAGCTGCGTCTCTTTTAGCGTGTTCCCTTTCACTCAAGTAAAGAAGAGCCTCTGCTGCATCTTTTTTGGAGATTGACGCTCGTTTTGGTGGCGGATTATATACCCTCGACAATGTTTTTTTTCGTTTTCCCTTTTTCTTTTCTATATGAATTTAAAATGAATGTATAAGCTTATTAAGCGTTCAGCAAGCTTTCGTATAATTCACACATTTATGACAAAAAAGCAGTCAACACTTACATTCTCAATACTTTATATCGCTGAAATAGAGTCTGGGTTATCTACAGTAAGACCATTTTCTCCCACAAAATGAAGACTACAAATATAACTGTCTTTCGTACACACAAATCTGTCACCTGGATGACACGCACGAATCCAGCGCTCTCGCTTGTCGCTATGGTATTTCTCCCCAGGAAAATGTAAGAAAAATACTTTGCTTCTACTTGCGTCTCGTTTTAAACGATCAGGATACCGCGAATCGCTTTTGCAGGTTCCCCAAGCGCACCTCTTCGTCGTAACCATTGTTATAAAATTACTCCGCCATGTTTGTCCGAGTTTTTCTCTTTAGCAAACACGTGTTTCCACATATATGAAAACCGCCAAAGTGGTGTATTGTTATTGAAGGCTTATGAAGGGATCATATTTAATCTGTACTCATATTGTAACAAACACTAACTCTAACCAATGAAGAAAATAACTCTTTCTTCATTTGATTCATAGTGGTTTAGAATAACTGGGAGAAGATTTAAACATAAATTTTCAAGATGCAGACAGTTACGTAAATATTTATCACTCTCAATTCTTAATCTAGCCCAATCATGTGGCATGGTGCGGTTAGTTCGGTTGACTATGTAAGCTGCAACGAATAGTTTAACAAAACACTAACGTTAAAAAACGTCGATCGTCCGTTAAATCAAAATGCACTAAAGTGAAACGATTCCTTCGACCTTCCTTGTTAACTTGCTATTCATTGTCCTGATTAAAATTACCTACCTTGAAAGCCAGTAGCAAAGCATACATTCAGCAATAAAAACGAACACGATAGCTTATTAAGAATTATAATTTAGTGGTAACATCATCACCTATATTTATTTGAAATGCAAGCTTCTTTTTACCGTTGAAATTGAATTGAAGGCAATGACATAATCAGCCGTAGAAGGGTATTTATCACATGATTATTCAAAGAAAAATTCTAAAGTTCACCTTTTAAAGAAGTAATATATGAAAGTTGCTTCGAAGCTCAATCTAATTCAATGAATTTATTAATTGTACTTCTTGGCATCCACTAGACTGCCACTTCACCGTACTTGGTAGCTCATGTTTATTTACATTGGAAACATGATAAATTGAGTCACGTGGGTAGTTGGCAGTAAACCTATTGGTTGGATTACAGAAAATGAGCAATGTTGCATTGCTTAGTTGTCAATGGAATGAATGATATCATCACATGATAAAGCCAGGAACACAATTTGCTGAAACATATGGCAAGCCATTTCGAAAAAAGGTGGTTGAGAAAAAAATCTCCGTTGAGAAAGCAAACCGATGTTGAGAAACACGTGTTTATCATTGAGAATTTGCAGATGGTAGTTCAATAAAGCAAATATTTTGTGAGAAAAAATTCCCGGTCGAGAAAAAAATCCCGGTCTAGAAAAAAATCTCGGTCGAAAAAAAATCCCGGTCGAGAAAAAAATCCCGGTCGAGAACCAGTGCACGCACTACCTAAAGATTGGACATGAGGCTGACGAGGGCTGTCATGTAGCACTCATTGAGTCCCATAAAATCTTATAGAACTCAATGGTAGCACTGCATATTTGGTACTAATATGAGATTGGCACTACTTCCAACAGCACAATCAACAGCACAATCATCAGCACAATTCATCACCGCATTCAACTGAAATTTATTGATAAAAACAATAAAGCAATAAAGTCCTGTTGAGGGACTTACTCCCCTTTCTCAGCCTGGTCTATTTTGAATGATAAATTTTAGTTCAATATGATGATGATTATTGTGATGACTGTTGTGTTAAATGTGGTGCCCATAATATATGGGTGCCCATCGTGGTGCCAAATTCACAGTAGCAATTGTAAGATGGATGCGAATGCGAGCAACGGGTCACCAAGAGCAGGTCAACTTATTAACAACATTTTAGCTCGAGTCGAAGAATTGTCAGAAGTTATTTCACCATGTCGTGAAAACTCTGAATTATCGTCTATAAACGAGGAAGTGGCGCGATCTTTTAATCGCGGAGGCCGAGGACACGACATAAATTTACAACAATCAACAGCAATGTCGAGGTGCAATGCACAGGTACCAGTTTTGCCACCGTTTCGTCCATAGAACCAAGGCAATATTTTCCTGCTATGAAGTATAACAAGCGAATTTTGAACAGCAGCAGCTCCTCAAGGAAAAAGCTATCAAAAATGAAAAAGGGGCCAAGTGGTCCTTTCATACGAGACATAGTCCTTTCGTCAGGGCCAAATGTAAACACTGTCCCCCGCCAAAGCGCAAGAGTCAATCTAGTGGAAAATGGTCATATCATTTTAGGCTTCCAGCTGATGAAAGAATGGAAGGGATATGAAGTAGAGATGCATGTGAGAAATGCGTTTAGTGACAAACTAAAAGATCACAATATAGATATTGAAATCGTAATGGAACCATTAAGCAACAGAATCAACAAACCTGAACATTTGAATGATCAAGAGGACCTGTGTATTGTGCAGGTATGCTTGTCTTGTCTGCCTTTTCATTTTTTCAAATACATTCTGCTAGAAATAAATTTACGAATTAGTCATTAAACATCATTTTTTATTGTTTGTCCTTTTTTTCAACATTTTTTCGTTGTAAAGGAAGAATCATGATAATTTTTTATTTTCATATGTAATAGGATGACTCAAGTGATGATGTACGGTGGTCCACAGGTGTAACGGCACAAACAAAATCTCACGGCACACACAAAACTTCTCACGGCACACACAAAACTTCTCACGGCACACACAAAACTTCTCACGGCACACACAAAACTTCTCACGGCACAAACGAAATCTCACGGCACACACAAAACTTCTCACGGCACACACAAAACTTCTAACGGCACACACAAAATGTCACGGCACACACAAAACTTCTCACGGCACAAACGAAATCTCACGGCACACAAAACTTCTCACGGCACACACAAAACTTCTAACGGCACAAACAAAATCTCACGGCACACACAAAACTTCTCACGGCACACACAAAACTTCTCACGGCACACACAAAACTTCTCACGGCCAATAGCTAACTTCATAAATTTTTTAAGTGTTTGAAACATAACTCAATGTACTTCCATACTCTCACCACCTAACCAAAAATATGTAGCTATGTGCTTGTGTAAAACAACGTAGATTATAAAATAAAAGCATTAAAACATGTGCGCTGATTGGTCTATAGCTGTGCTTGAATTAGCCAATGAAAACTGATCTGAGCTCAACCAATGAAAAGAATCAATCAATAAAAGAGAATTTGCAAATCAATTGTGAATATATTTTAGTGAAAAATTAAAACGTTTGTGTTCATTTGTCTGTTTTGCATTTTTGTTGTCTTATAAAAGAAATTAAAAATGTTTTTTGTGTTTGCACTGACTTATGCAGACCTCTGACATGTTTGGGACTGAGAACTATAGAGTTGGGGCATCCTTTGACCTCGGGATTGCACTGATCAGCTTTAAAGTTCGCCCAAAGATCTCCTTGGTTTGCATGAGCCGATGCAAACAAAGTAAACATCTTTTATTTCTTAAATGCATTTAAAATGCTTAGATATTTCACAATAAACAACTTACTTTATTAATAAATTCCAGTGCCAAAGTGAAATTACTCTTCTTTACAAGGTATGCAGCCTTGAAAGAGAAATGAAAAACATGACATGACAAGATGGCATGGATGTTGTCTATGTGCTTTGTGTATTTTACATACCTTCCCAAACGATGCATCAATATTCTCTGATGATTTAGCTCTGAAAATGGAAAATATTATATTGAAATATTGAAAATTGTAAAGTCTTTATGAGAAAACATTAACATACCCCTGTAAAGCCTCATCAAAATATTTTATGGATTTCTTAATGGCAGAATCTTGTGTACTTGTAAGATCAATCCATCCACATAAAAATAGTTCCCTGTATGTACATATGAAAGAAGACAGGTTAAATTGTGGTTATGATGTGAAAGGCATGTTAAGAAAACCTCTTTCGAACCATTGGACATTTTCAACATTCTGTCAACATATTCTCTTGCTTTTTCATGATGCCCTGTGTGCCATAAAAACATTACAGCAAAGTATAGCGCATTCTCACCAACACTTGTTCGAATCTTTTTCAATCTTGTTTCCAATTCATGTACACTTTCCTTGTCAATTAATTGTGCCTTTTTATGTACATAGATTAATGCCATCAAACAACACAGGACAACTTCTTCACTTTCTTGGATGGATTCAAATTCTCTAATGGCTTCTGACAGACAATCTGCAAGTCAATGTAACAACCATTATGAAGTATTGACAATACAGTATATTTTAATAAATATCATTGGATCATTTTAAATACAAAGAAATAGAGCTTTTAAGCAAGCACAAGCTAGTTTAGTGATGGATAAGAGACCAACCACAATAAATTGACATAAATTCTGCTGGCAAAATGTAAAGCTTCATGTGTGAAATGACAGGAGACAAAACAAAGTGAAAATTTTCTTATTTGAAGGGTGCAGTATACACAGACAGTTTTAAAACAGTCAGAATGCATCAAATGACAAAGTACTAGTAAAAATGGGGCAATCAATTACGAGAAAATCTAGAGAAAACCTGTTGCCATGGACTATGCAATGCAACAACTGCAGAATGAGAACGACAATACTCTACATTTTTAACAACAAACCTTCCATCAGTATTCCAAATGCTTTCCAAAATGTCAAAACCGGATCACCTCCGTGCTTCTTGTTTTGTAGGTGCCTGTAAAATCTTGTTCGACAATAATAGTCATCTGATGCGCGATAGATTTTTTGCTACTTCGGCTAGAAATATTGTGATACATCACTCTACATAACAATGTATCACACTACATCACAATGTATCACAATGTATCACAATGTATCACAATGCATCACAATGCATCACACTACATCACAATGTATCACACTACATCACAATGCATCACACTACATCACAATACATCACAATGCATCACAATGCATCACACTACATCACAATGTATCATACTACATCACAATGTATCACACTACATCAAAATACATCACAATTTATCACAATGCATAACAACGCATCATCTTTATTATTGCAATGTATCACAACATTACAATGTATCGCATTACATCACAATGGACTGTAATAGAGCATCACATGAGAATACAATATTGTGACTGATCACAGAACCACACTCGAGTGTCGTTATGTCTTGTCATGGAATAAGCATTGCGATAAATTCATAAAATAATTGACATATTTACTATCAGAAATCATAAAGATGGGAAACTACAGTCTCCTGCCTTTCTTCAACTAGATGAAATGTTCATGCTCTCTTTTGTCAACTTTAAAAGTGAGTGTTCGTCAAAAGTTCACTAATCTATGAACTTAATTTACGATCTGGCAACTGAACACCAATTGTCAACACTGCCTTCCCAAAATGAAACCCCACATAGATCAATGGAAACACAATGGCTTTGACTGCTTGAACCATTGGCTCGAATACAAAACACAATACTTTTGCATTTACGTCACGTGATGTGTTTGTTCTTCCATTTTCATTGTCGGATGTGGACGGTGTGTTTGAGTCGTATCTTCTGGTTCTAGATGTTGACGGTCTGCTGCGTTTACCAATTTCCATTTCAGACGTAGACGCTGTGTTTGAATCATTTATGCTGGTTTCGGTGGTGGACCCCAAGCTGTCTCTTGCGATATTTGTATCTAAGATGTTGAAGGCTAAAAAAATAATGACTATTATTATTTGGCTTTTCAATGACAAACAATCACACATTTAGTCAATATGCACTTTAGATTTCTTTTTAAATAGCATCTGTTCTTAAATAAATTTTTAAAGAAGCTGATAATGATAATACTTTGAAACTAACATAACATGACTGAAGAATAGCCAGTCTATTCCATTTGTAATCCTTTCGCACTTGCTTCCATCTGTATAAAATTAGTTGTTAAAAATGCTAACCTTCCGAAAAAACAATCCAATTCTCACTTCCAAATGCAGATTGTTTTATAATTACGCAATTTCTGGAAGCAGTTTCTACTCCATCTGAGCCTCTGCTGATCTTTTCACCATTTGCATTTGCATTGAAATACTGGCTTCGCCCATTGACCACCCCAATGTCGAGAGACTTAATTTCTTGTCTCACTCTTTTTTCATTCGGAAACAGAATACCGTGATCTTTTAGCAAAGCAAAAAACCATTTCAGTGCCACTGCTACTCCATTAAGTCTTACTCCACTTGAGCTTGACTTAAATGTCACTTTTGGATTTACCCAAGTGAGTAACTAGAAATGAGAAATGTCACAATTATTACTTTACGAATTTGGTCTATGTGCTATGAATTTATTACAAACGTTTTTGCAAGATATTTTGTGCTCTATTGCCTTCATTATTAAGTCCACAATAATTGGTTGTTCTGTATGAAGCATTGCATGAGACACTTGCGCTTGGTTGCTCTAGAATCGCTTCATCCATACTGGCAGGATTGTTTGTTTGAAAAAAGCGATGGCATTGCTTGGATAGAGATCATCAATACTTGCCAGACGTATTACCTATGTCATAATTGTGCAAGTGGTCATTGGCTATTACTCAATTTTTCATGTTATGTGGTTAATAAGGCAGTTACCTTCTCAGCAAATGCTACCAAAAGTGCATGATTTCTTAAACAGCGGTCGTCGATGTTCGGTGCTTCAATGGTAAATTGTTGACAGAGCTCATTAGTTCTCGTTATGCAGAGGTATTCGACAGATCTGCTAATTGCCACCATGGTCCCAAAAGCACTAGACCCTCTTTCCATTATTGCATTGTTTTAGAGTTTTGCGTTCTGTTGATTCTCGATTCCGAGAGGACTTCTTGCTCCTTCTTGAAAGGGAATTAGGACAAGCCTTCCAAGTACTCTACAGCACGTGAAAAATTACATTAGTGCAATAAAAAGCAAACTTCTTCCATAAATTTGGAAAAATCTACCTGGGGCCATTGTTCAATCCCTCTAAAGTTTCCCAATTGACTGCGAACATCGGAATCGTTCGAGGAGCTGCTTCGAAAACACATGTCCCGTCTTTGCCACTGTTGTAGAAAGAGACCGCAACATTTTAAATAACTGTATTTTTGTATTTTTACATGAAAATAATGAAAATAAATGTATTTTTACATGAAAAAAACGTCAGAAATTTTGTAATAAACGGGCATCACTTGCCAAAATATTGGGCATAATACAAAAGTGTCACATTTTGACGAAAAACATGCACCAGCTAATAAAAAACATAAGTATTGTGATGCAGTGTGACAACCAATCTCTTTGTAGCTACTTCAAGTTTTTATATAATTTTCAGTCATCTTAACGTTTAAACTTTTATACTTTCTCCTTAAAATGATGTTTTTCCAGCCACAATAATAAAGTTCAACAGTTTTTAAAGATGCATAATAATGCATCTTCCATTATCTTGTCCATGTATTTATTGACAATAGTTCAATAATGAAAAGGCGCATAAAATATTCATGTTTTTTATAGTTGGTGCATGTTTTTTGTTAACATGTGACACTTTTGCACTATGACCAATATAAAGGAAATTCAAATGGTACTTCACTTGATGGACGTTTAACACTCTCAATGTAAAAGCATAAAAATACTTTCAGTGTTTTATTTGTATAAAACGCAAATAATGCTTACCATCAAAAACTGCACTCTAAAAACATCCTGGTTAAAAAATCCTGGTTGAATGAATTTCAACCCCAATTATGTTAAGTTAACTCGGATTTTGGTTAAAACCGGGTTAATTTTTAGTTCAACACTGTAGTGCAGTTCACTGTATTAGGGAGTTTTAGCAAAATTACGACTACGAGAACGAGTACGAAATTTGACCGTGTAAGGGAATGGCACGAGGAAGTTTGTTGTCGTTGTCCTTCGTCAAATTTTTCTTTCTGTAAACAACAGAACGAGCCTTTTATTGTGTAAACACCGACGTTTGCGAAGCAGCTACGGTTCTATTTGTCAATAATGATATCAAAGAATCGATAATACTGGTTTTGCGAGAATATAGGACTCTTTAGACTGAAAAATCTTCACTATTTTAAGTTTTATGTACGATATATTTTACTATTTTATTGTTTGTTTACCTTTCACTTTGCGTACGAAATACATGAAAGTTTTGCAGGTCATATTTTCCTTTTAATGTACATCTGCGCTCAAAAGGGTTCTACATTAAAGCCTAGATGCTCGAAAATAGTACTGTAAACTAATTTCTTACAGAATGAAGAAATATACCTACTTTCTTTGCTTAAAAGACATCGTAGTCGCGACTACGAAATTTTACAAAACATCGTACTCAGATTGATGACGGCTACGTGTTTTGTTGTCGCTACAATGTTTTCGCGCCAAAATGACGTAAATCGTACTCGTAGTCGTACTCGTAGGCTCTGCTAAAACTCCCTACTACCAGGATCCAGGTTAAGAAAAATCAAAATGGCGGCTCACTAATTTTCGGGACGAAAAGTCAAAATTGTTTATAATTTGCGCCTTTATGCTTTTACAGAAACAAAAATAAAACAAACTTTTCGGGTGTCGATATACATATTTAGAAAATTTGAAGATGCCAATCGTTGGAAAACGCTATTTAAATGCTGTCATTAGTTTAAGGTGGGAAAACAACTAGTATATTGCATGCAGCTCATGACAACCTCCAGTGTTAAAAACGAAGCACTAGTCTGGACAAACACCATTGATCTTAAATAATTAGTTGAGAATACGTACGCTTCTTTTGATTGTTTGATCATAGCAAACGAAACAACCCTGTGCGAATTCCGGGGTTGGACGGCCAACTGAGATAAATAATGAAGAAAACCCTGTCATCTGAGACTGAGAGCAACTGCTTGGTTAAGCTTTCATGAAATGGGGAAAGAAAATGGCAGATCGAGAAGTAAGAACCGCTCGACACTTTGAACTTAGGCAATAAAGTTTTAGTGAAAAAGTCATATTTTAATTAATAACATTAGTAGCTACATTCATCAACGATACAGCTTTGTTGGTGTTGAAATTTAAAAGTTAGCAAACAACCATGTGTTAGATACAATATCTAAAATAATCAGTGTAATTCTAATCAGTGTATTTCTGAACAATTATGATTGTTCTAAGTGTTTTAAGTTATTGCACCAAATACCAGTTGCAATCTCCTCAGGCACTCCATTTTGTACCTGACAGTTATAAATTTACTCATGGAAATCTAAACAACAATTTTGGAATGATTGACCCTCTGAAAAATTGACAATTCTGGGAGACTTGTCACGCAGCAAGAGCTAAATAATCGTTTCGAGTCTATGCTTAAGCCTTTATAAACTGCGATGGCAGACCTAAGAGAATTGTCCTCAAACTAACATTACCCATAAGAGCCTGGTCTTGATAGAGGTCTGAGAAGCTAAGAGAAGAACAGTTAAATAGACAGACACTTGACTATAAAACACAATATTATATTAAATATAGTTTCACAAAATATAATTTCATCTCAATTCCAAAATACACTGTCTTCATGGTAAGTAGTCTTTGTCTTAATACTAGGTACAATCTCCAAAAGCACAACACTTTCTCTCAGAGCTATAAATATTCATGACAATTTATATGAGTTTTGAAATGCACAACAACTTTAATAATTTACTATCTTTGTAGACAAGTCACACAGGAAGAGCTGAATGATAGAGTCACACTACATGCTTGATAAAGTATAAACTGTGTTCCAGTAAGGGCAATGGAGGATTGATAACTGGGTTGCCAAAATTCATATATTTCTGTTATGTAATCTCTAATGGCAATTGATTTCAATAGAAACTAACACAGTAAAACAGGCATTTATAAATGTTTGTTCCATCTTACTAGTTATTATCAATCCTCGGCCACCCTTGTATTCGAGACCTGTGAGGTACTTGGCCTGAAACTAGCTTCAACGGGCATCAGAACCTGATGATTATAAAGATCAGTGAAGCTAGTAGAACAGTTAACTACAAACAATGAAATTTAGGAAAACAACCTTCTGAATTAAATATACTTTCAACTCATATAATAAAAAATTTCCATGATTATAACTGATTATAACACCGTCAATTATTATCTTCAAACTCTTTGTACTGACAAAAAGCAGCATAGCTTATTCAAAGAATGCCATTTGGTCCACGAAATTCAGTTGACGAGAAAATTATCGCCTGACTGTCGCCACAAATCAAAATATGACATTGTTTACATCATCGATTATCACCAACCATTTCACAGCATTATGGACTTGAAAAAAACTATAATACCAAAATCTTCTCTGGAAGAATATGAAAAGCCAGAAGCTTCGAATTACAAGCAGCTAAATACAAAGCCACATATAGTAATACCACGAACGACAATCAACCGAACGATAATCGACGATAATGCTCAATGAACAGTAGTCACATGACACGAGCGAGCACCCTCGGTATTTGACGATAGGTAACGATTGTCAAATTGCGACTTGCAGTTTTCCCGCCTTTTTTACTCTTTCTCGTGTGAACTGTACAAACAAGTACAACTACGAAGTTTCAGCCGCATCGAAAAAAGTTTATGGACAATTGGGTTAAAGAAAAACTTGAAAAGTGGAATCTTTCCTGCTTGAAAGATGTTTTTGAAGGTAAATAAATGCAGTGTTTATATTATTTAGTACTTAGCTTTAGCTATATTCTTTTGTTTCTTAGCTTTTTGTTCTTGAACCGCATGTTTTTTTGAATTGCATTTTTTTAGAAAATATGATTGACGAGGAGGCCTTTCTCATTTTAAACGAAGAAACCTTGAAGGAGATGAAGATTCCTATTGGACCACGAATCAAACTATTGAAAAAATCAAATTTCAGGTATACCAATGCTATCTTAATTCTGACTTTGGACAGTTGAATCGGTACACGAAAGCCTACCTAGCAACGCCTTAGCAACCATAATTTCAAACCAGAGTACAAACATCTAAAAGCAGTTTTTTATAGTTTCATTCACATATTGCTTTTTCAATGCCGATTTTCAAAGTGTTGAGAAGTTTGTACGTACAAACAAACATGAGATATTATTGGCTTTAGTTGTTTTTACCCCCTTTTACGAGATTCAAAACTACAAATTGCTTTGAGTAACATAATTTGAAGAGCTAACAAACATGGCTTAAATTCAAGCCAACTCAATATTTTTTTCTTTGCCCGATAACAATACGACAAAAACTTTGAACGATCGTACGCCAAAATTCCCGAAATGACATCACTGAAGGTATATATGACTGATGACAACCAACAAATTTAATATCAATAAACAAAAAAAAGCACCAGGGACATAAAAATGAATAAAACTCGCAAACTTTAGACGAAAATAGGCTAATAATCAGAACAACATAAATAAAAGTTTCATAGCTAAAGTTCATTAGCAAATATACCCAATAGTTTTTATAACTCAGTTCTTGTACAGCATTAAGAACAAATAAGTATTTTGTGTATAGCTGTGAATATAACATGTAACAAGCAGAGAAAAGGCAGTTGCTGATTACATGGCTACTAACTATGATGACTCGAAGAAATATTTTCTAATAACAGAAAAGTCCATCACTGTCATCTTCTATAAATATGTGTGACTTATGTCTGTACAAACACATTTCTTTAGCTGGTGTTATAAAGAGAAACGAAACGACCTCTTCCTTTGCTACCCTCAATCTCTCAGTTTAAATTCTGTAAAAGCAAGGCCATTCAAATATTTAAATCCTTGCACATAGAACACAATATGAATCAATTTGAGAAGAGTTCATTATTTAGTTTTCCCAAGTTCATTATATAAAATTGGTACATGAAATAAAGCAGTCCATGCAGTTTGTAAGTTTTGAATCTCGTGGAAAGTGGTGAATGTTCATAATGTCATAATAGGAGTGATTTATTAAGCTCTTTTGCCTGTATAAACTTATTAGGACACATTTCAAAAAGTCAAAGTTTTTGTTTTATCTGGGTGCTAAAAGTATGAAAGTACTTTTGTTACAAATAATGTCAAATTCTTGGGAGATGAAGTGCTTTTTCTTTGTTTCTTCTTTATCTTATACACCCTTTATATTAAGGTTTTCAAGGTCGAATTACGGAAGGTATATAAAAAAAGTGGACTCTTGGGAAAAGTTCTCTGTAATAAGATGCGCATGGAATAAGCAAAAAATTTTACTGATTTTAAGTTCTCCCAGGATGACTCACCCTAGGTTTCAAATATTTTTCAGTTGCCGGCAGCTTTTTGCAAAATCGTTATGCCTATAACACTTTACATAAAATGCCACTCTGCCTAAAATATTATTTAATGTTAATCCTGACATTCAAATTCTCATAAGTAAATTGTTTGAACCCGTGAGTATCGTTACATGTTAGTAGATGTAGATCGTCAGGTTAGTAGAGTCCCGAGAAGAACTGTTGTTTTTGATGTTGACTGACGTTTCGACTCTGAAGATGACTACTGCTAAGAGTGTCGGAACGTCAGTCAACATGAACAACAACAGTCCTTCTGATGAAAATAACATTTCCACAACAAACTTTTCGTTTCATTTTCACTTTAAATAAATAAATTGCATGGACTCTTCTTCATATATCTCATAATATAGTGAAATGACGTTATACATTTGCTTCCAGTGCAACCAGTTTGTATCCCAAACAAAAAAAGGTCTGATGGGGGCACCTAAAAAACGAGCATTTGCTGAGAAATGGGTGGATGTTTACAAAGCCTGTAAAATGTAGTCAAGGTGGTTGCATGCGCAATTTCCGATAAACTAAAGCATTTGTAAAACACATAGAATCTGATCATGTCATTGCAAGGAATGACGACATTATTGATGATGCAATATGTTGTGAGAGCATCGAGGAAGGTGGTGATGATTAGCACCCTATACTGGATGCACTTTTTACGTAAATGTCACTAACTCTGTTACATTATTTTTGGCAAAGATGAAAGCTTCCAGTAGCGTCGTGTAATCAACGATCGAACATGTTGTGAGCAGCTGCCAAGAACTTTTTTCTGACATTATTGGAGTGTTAAAGTTTTGAGACAGAGCAATACTTGAATAATCAAAACATCATTCCTGATGATCTGAAAGTAAAAAACCTCATGACTATTTTTGACAAGTCTGCAAATCTGTTTATAGATGGAGACACTGCATACAAATAGCGAATACGTTTTGAAAAAAGTAGTCATTTTTTAAAGCTTCCTGAAGTCCCAGTAAGTGTTGCTTACTATCCACAATAAAATTGGGAGACAGATCATGTAGATCAAGTTGCGAAGCAAATTACATTTCAATACGTTCCTTTTGCATGATCTTTTCAAATGCATTCTCGACAGTAAGGGATTCATGAAAGCAATAACTGAGCATTGCCCAAGTAAAGATGATGTGCTGAAAGACTTTCATGATGATACTTTCTGCAAACAACACAGATTTTTTTCTAAAGAAAATACCGTCAAGCTACTTCTGTTTGTTGACGATTGTGAAGTGGCAAACCCATTTGGATCGAAGGCTGGTTTGCACAGAATAACAAATGGTCTACTTCATTATATTGAATTTACCACTAAAGCTTCGTTCCTCTCTAACTGTTTTCTATTATCATTATTCAATGCTGGTGATTTTAAAACATATGGTTATACACCTTTTTTGCAACTACTTGTTGATGATGTAAAGTTTCTTGAAAAGGAAGGAGTCTTCATTAGCACCGATCATTTCGAAGGAACTGTTTATGCAGGAATCACACAAATAACCTGCGATAACCTTGGAGTGAATGGTATTTTAGGATTTCTGGAGAGTTTTGTTAGTAATCATTTCTGTAGACATTGCAACATGCATAGGAATGAAATGCAAAGAAGTTCAACCGCTTGCCAGGAGCAACTTCGTACATTCATTAATTATGAAGAGCACTTGCAACTGAACAGTTACGCAGAAACAGGCATTAAATCACCTTGTGTTTTGAACGAAGTAGAAAACTTTCACGTCACCTCTAACTATGCACCAGACGTTATGCACGATCTTCTAGAAGGTGTTTGTGGGCTCGAAGTGCATCTCGTACTAGCACAATTAATTCGGGAAGGCCTTTTTGATCTTGATTTGTTAAATAGCCGCATCACTAGCTTTGATTATCCAACAACCGACTTAAAGAACAAGCCAAGCCCAATTTCAAACAGTAGACTGCAACAACCAGACGGTGCATCCGGGCAAACTGCTGCACAGATGTGGTGTCTGTTTCGGAACCTTCCTCTTCTCATTGGTGACAAAGTTCCGGAAGGACATCCATTCTTTGAACTTTTACTTATGCTTTTAGATTGCATGGATTTCATATTTTGTCCTGAGGTAACAACAGAAGAGACATACTTTTTGAAACATCTTATAAAAGAACACCATGAGCTATTTCTTGAACTTTTTACAGATCGCACACTTAAACCAAAGCATCATTTCATGACTCACTACCCTCATCAAATAAGACTTTTGGGACCCTTACTTCATTTCTGGACAATCCGATTTGAAGCGAAACACCGATTCTTCAAACGTTTAGCCCATATTGTATGTAATTTTCGGAACATTTTGAAAACCCTGGCTTCAGACAACAAATGTTTCTCTGTTATAATATTATGAGCAAGAAAGACCTATCTGAAGTAGACTTTGAAGTCGGACCTGGATCACAAGTGGTAGTTGAATATTAGGATGCAGCAGATTTGATTGCACGAAGACTAGGTATTCTCGTGTCTGACATCGTATATCTTGCAAATTGGTGTAAACTTCACGGTATTAAATATACCAAAAATCTTTTACTTTTAACTGGAAAAAGTGATGATATGCTACCTGTTTTTCAACAAATTGTTTATGTTATTGTTAGTGAAAATAATAGTGCGCACTTTCTTACGCGGAAATGGAAAACAACCGAGTACCATCGACATACTCATTCGTACGCAATTGAACTGCCAAATGATCCAAAGTGCTCGATCATTTCTTTGAACGATTTGTACAATTATTTCCCATACCATGCCTCAGAATCATATGATGAAGAAGACTTGCATTCTCATGTCGTACTTCGTCACCGCATTCCTTGATGCCGCTCAAAATATTAATAAAGAAGTTTAATATGCTAACATGATGCTTAATAGGAAATAGTTTTGAAGGACGTATAAGAGTAATGATTTCTTTATTCCATTGACTATATGCTTTTTATTAATGATGTTTAAGATTAGAGGTTTATTATCTGTAATGTCTTTTTTGGTTAAATGTTCGTTTCTAAAATAACATGAAAAATTTAAACAATTTCATTGGTCAAGAGCTATAAATTATAAGAGGTCATGCACTTTTTTCATTACATAAACTACGTCATCCCTGCGAGTAATTCTACAGGTAATAGAAAAGTTTTGAGTACAATTAGGGATGATCGTGCCCAAGTGAGTTTTTTAAAGAGTAGCTCAAGTCCAATTTAGCCGTAATAGCATAAGAAATTATACTTTAACTCAATAATAATATGCTTTGAGGTATATCTTGATAGTACCGTTAAACTTTTCTCGCTTGGTTACTCTCTATCTTCTCGTAACTGTATGCTGTTTTGTTATCGTCTTTGCATTTTTGCAGTTCTTGAATTTCAAACGATTGCAGATTGCATTTTGTAAAATCTTTCTTTATTACAAATGACATCATGTTGCTTTTAATACAATTACACTTATTCACATTAAACACTAAATTAAATTGAACAATATAAACTTTCTATTGATGCTATTTATTTTATCCAATATAGGAATCTTCAAGTCCCCGAGTTTACTTGTCAGCCAAAAGAAAACGAGGCAAAGCGTTCAGTAGCAGCAAATCAGTCTATATTTGAGAGCTGTGGGGCTCAAACTTTTCAACCGAGAAAGAAACCCAGGAATGATTTTGTAAGCATTAACACTTGTAGAGCAATTAAACATCAAACACACTTTTTTATCTTTTTCTTTTTTTAAAGAATATAAAATCGATTTTGGAAGAGTCCGAAGTTGGTGCTCAAGTGATTTGCGAACTGGATATGGATAAATTAAGCAGAAAAAGCAGAATCAAGATGGTTCAGATACTAGTGGCTTACATAATTAATCAGTTTGGAGAAAGGTTTGTAAAAATATGAAAGACTAAATTCACCACTTTTACTGCAAAATGTAAGTCTACCTATGATGTCATCGTAACAGTAAAAAATCGTAAAAATAGAAAATCAAAGAGTTGTACAAATTAACACAATAGTAAAATGAGATTTTAGCAATTAAGCGTCGTGTTCGAGAAACATGTAAATGCTTATACTTTTTATAAAGTATTTCGTATTTTGTAGACAAACATTAAGAAAGTACTTGAAAAGATGAGCGAATGGCAGTTGGCTGCTGAAAATCTAAAATCTCTCTTGCCTGACCATGATGAAGTTTATGAAGCATGGATAAGGAAAATGGAAGCATTCACAAAGATTTTCCTCTCTTGCAATTACTTTCCAGTGATGCGTTGAAGGTTGGTGAAAGGTGATATCATTTGATTTATTCTTTCTGTTGGCGGATACATGTGTTATATGTGTATACTATCGGGGATACATATGTATTTATGTATACTATCGGTGGTTGTACATGATAATACATAATCATGTAAATTATACTTATTATTGTTATATATTTAAATATATTATTAGTTAACCAATTAGTAAAATGCCTTACTCATACATGCATGTGTATGTTAACCACAATAACAGGAAAAGCTTACGTATAGGACGTGGTCAACCTACTGACCACAAACAACGTACAGGATACATGGTTAATCAACTGACCACAGTTTGCGCACAAGCGGTTAATCGTACGTCATTGTGCAATCACATATAAGCCGAGAATCGAAAGTTGTAGTTATGTTGGTGCTTAGTAGAAGTCCACATCAGAAGAAAGCTCATGTAAAAGAAGACGAACTATTTAAGAAAAGAATCAAAGAATCCAGATTTATATCCTATCCATCAACGAAAGAGTCACCGAAAGTCTGAAAGCAGTTGTCTAGATAAGTTTGAACATTTAAACATTTATGTTATAACGATTTTATCAAAATTATTAGTATATTAAATAAATATTTAAGAATTGACAACAACTTCTCCACAAGGTTTTACTCCTTTTGTTACGAGCAATTGAACCAAAAGCGGCCATTTGTTATTAGTCGGGACGTTCGTAACAAAATTGGGGGCCCACCCGGGAAAGAACTCTTTCAAGTTATTCAATTGAACAGAAGTCAGAACGAAAAAGAAAATAGAATCCAAAACAAATCGAAATCATTTCAACAACAAAATTTCACATCAATATTTTATAAACAACAAAAGAGAAAATCATTTATTAAAGTAAACTTGTGGACCAGTTGTTTCAACATGTCTGCATTTACACCAGAAGAGTTTATGGTGGAACCAACATATGAGAATATTCTGAAATTAAGAAAACATGATCTAAAAGCTTTAGGGAAATATCTTAAGGTCGAATTAAAAAGTTCAATGTCTAAACGCGAAATACAGCATGTAATTTTAAAAAGATTATGCAACGATAAACTCGTTGATGAAGCAGTTTTAGAAAACGAAAGTATTTTCATGCAAAATACAAGAGGTGAAGTAGATAGCATTGCTCAAACAGATGTTAGTCAGGAAGAGTCAGACGAAAGACAATGGCAAAGAGAGGAAGAAGAAATAAGGTGGAGAAGAGAACGCGAAAGACTTGAATGGGAGCGTGAATGTGCACGCGAAGAGAGAGCGTTTAAGTTAAGAGAACAGGAGATAGAACTAGAAAAATTAAAACTTCAAGCCAAAAATACACATGCTGAACATTCTAAAACAAATTTTGACATAACCAAGCATGTAAGAATGGTTCCACCGTTCCCGGAATCGGAAGTAGACAAGTACTTTTTGCATTTTGAAAAAGTCGCCGAAAATTGTAAATGGCCCAAAGAAAGTTGGACCATGCTTTTACAAAGCGTTTTGATAGGAAAAGCTAGAGAAATTTTTTCTCAAATGTCTGTAATTGATTCTGCGGATTATGACTTAGTAAAAGATGCGATCCTGAAGGGTTATGAGTTGGTCCCCGAAGCCTACAGACAAAAATTTCGTGCTATTAGCAAAAATATATCTATAACTCACTTAGAATTTGCTGAACAAAAAGCTCAACTTTTCGATGGATGGTTAGCTTCGGAAAAAGTCCAAGATTTTAAAACTTTGCGGCAGTTAATTTTAATGGAAGAATTCAAAAATTGTATCCACTCTGAAACACGAATTTTCCTTAACGAGCAAAATCAAACGAACATTGATGTTGATGAATTGAAAAATATTTCTTTTGAAGACGAAGGTTCATTAGTGATAACTGTTGCAGGCAATTGGTACATTGGTAGATTGTATTGTTTTGTGTGTTGAATGGTTTGATGGTTACTGAATACAGCATGACAAGTGTTTGAGAGATGTGTAAGAAGTCTATTACGGACTTTAAGTTGTAAATCAGGTGTATCCATAAGATATTTGTTGATTTCCATAGCGCTGTGATTGAAACCTGCTCTGTAATGAGCCAAAGCAACAGGATCTGTTATGGTTGATTGCTAAAGAAAACGAAATTATACTAAACAGATAATCTCCAATGGATGTCTAGTTATGAAACAATTTGTGTCATCACTATCTCTTTAATTTTTATTTAACGAAGATTTTCTATTGCCACGGATTTAAGCTGTTAAAATGTTCATGACAATAGAGGTCAAGTTCAAATGTTCTTTGTACTATGAACAATTATGTTTTTGCCCAAAATTCTTTTGAGCATTTTGTTGTTGGTAAAAACGGCTTTTGTTGTTGGTAAAAACGATTTTCGAAAAATGTCGCACTGGTGCCACTCTGACTGAATAAAAAAATATTTGAAAATTTCTTCGTTGTGGTTACTAATTATGTTGTGCAAGTGAAATAATAGAAAAGACAGTAATCTTGTTTTAATCTGTAAATTAAACTAATTAAAAGAAAATGTTTTTACCTTTTACTTGTTGCATTCGGATGGATTTTAAATACTGCACGGTCATTTCTAGTATGTCAGCTTTTTCTAACTTTGAGCAGCAAGCCGTCTAAATGTCATTTATAGCTATAAGTTAGTCTCACATGTTTTATTGAGTTGTTGGAGTTATTGTAGAAGGAAACTAAAACGATTTTATGCAGAAATTTAGTGTCTAACAGCAGGCGATAAATTCTTTAACAAGTGCTTTGTCAACAATTAATGCATCTAACTGCTGCATAAATTACATTTGCCAAATGAAATTGTATACTTTGCAATAAGCTCAGCTTGAATTTTTTGATATTATGTTGATTTGTTTTTAAAGTACCATCCTATGAATTCCTTTTCATGAGAAGTAATTGGATTACGAGATTCATAATTTTAATTTCCGTGAGCCAAATTTTTCTTGACTGTCTTATCCCATCACAAATGTAGTTGACAATTTTTTTAATTATTCTTCTAGTAAAACGAAGATATGAAAGAAGAACAGTTTGGAGGCTATAAATCTATCTATTTAAAGAAATCCAACCGACTTAACGTTTCCTCTTCTATACAAACACAAGGTTGGTAATTGTCGTTATATAAACCATTGGATAAGGTCATTGATTTAACTTCACTTACAAAATCAACATGGTACTAATCCTGCTGCATAAACACCGTAAATAAATAAAAAGATAAATGATTGATGAATCAATTTATGATCATCGCCAATGATCAGACATGTACAAAACTGAAGTAATCACGCATTGAATTTATCCATCTCACTCCATACAACCGTATTACTACAACATAACATAACTTACATCTCTTTTCCTTGATTCTTAAAAGCAAATTTTTCAGTTCGTTCAAACTGTTATTTATTCTCTCGCGTCTTCTTTTTTCATAACTGGTTTGGACGACTATAAATACAAAAATGCACGAATTTAAATACTTCAAGTATTGTGACAGAAATCTATTATATGTTATTGATTTAAAAAATCATCACTATCACTGAAATGCACCCCCCGGCCACTCAAAGCTTAAGCAATGTATATATATGAACGATTTACCATGGATGCATGTGATATATCTTTATAGTTTTTGTATCATTGTTGATTTTGTTTTATTTAGGCTGTAAAGTATTTCATATAAAAGCAATCAATTATATGTAGATACATAAAAATCATACGAATTGATAATTCGATATGTAGGTACTAGATTTTAATATTTCGCTTATTTGTGTCCTCAATATGAATCTTGTGTGCATAATTATAATGTCCTTAAGTGAGAAACGTGTTGAAAAAACTCCAATTAACATTAACAAGTGCATGGCATGGACAATATTTAAAATCCTGAAAGTCTATCGTCAAGTGATAAAAATACTTTCAAAATGATAATTGGTAAAGTAATCGCACTTTTAAGTAAATATGTTAGGATTCAAAGCGAGATACCAACGAATATAACATTGTATAGTGTTTTTGAAATGTCGACAAAAAACTTTTTCGTCGCAAATTTCTGATTGTTTGGCGGTTTCTGTGCAATATACGTATTATATAGCTTTTCATACATCGTACCAATAATATAAACACAAGTTATTTTGCAAGTAATTATATGCTAGCTTATTTCTACCAAACGTGAACCCAAGCGATTTATCATTAACTATAACCCGATAATTTCATTTCTAAACTTTTGCGCTTTCTGCTAATATATTTATATATAATTATTAAACGAAGCATGGTGTCACATAATTTAAAGTAAATTCTTTCTTAATTCTAATTTTGTGCCACCTCTAGATGTTTAAAGTATTATGGAGGATATAAAATACTATAGAATTGTAAAGTTTGAAAATATCCGAGTGAATAGATCCAGAGTTATGAGTAATTTTCTATTTTTTTGCGATTTCTGCTAATATATTCATATATAATATTAAGCCGAGCATGGCGTCCGTGTCTTTAAAGTAAATTTTTTCTCATTTATAAGTTTTTGCTACCACCAGATCTTTGATATATTATAGAGGATATAAAATACTATAGAATTCTGAAGTTTAAAAACGTTGGACGTAATAGATCAAGAATTATGACTAATTTTTTAAATTTTGAGGTTTTCCCCTAATATATTTATGTATAAGTATTAAGTCAAGCATGTCTTCACATAAGTTTAAAGTAAATTTTTTCTATTTTCTAAGTTTGTGCTACCTCCATATCTTTGAAATAATGTAGAGGAGATAAAATCCTTTAAAATTGTGAAATTTGAAAATATCCAAGTAAGTAGATCAAGAGTTATGAGTAATTTTCTAAATTTTTGCGCTTTCCGCTAATATATTTATATATAATTATTAAGCGAAGCATGGTGTCACATAATTTAAAGTAATTTCTTTCTTAATTCTCAGTTTTGCCACCTCAAATCTTTCAGATATTATGGAGGATATAATATACTATAGAATTGTAAAGTTTGAAAATATCCAGTGAATACATCCAGAGTTATGACTAATTTTCTAAACTTTTGCGCTTTCTGCTAATATATTTATATATAATTATTAAGTGAAGCATGGTGTCACATAATTTAAAGTAAATTCTTTCTTAATTCTAAGTTTGTGCCACCTCCAAATCTTTCAGATATTATAGAGGATATAAATTAATATACTATAGAATTGTAAAGTTTGAAAATATCATCATGGTCAGGCAAGAGAGATTTTAGATTTTCAGCAGCCAACTGCCATTCGCTCATCTTTTCAAGTACTTTCTTAATGTTTGTCTACAAAATACGAAATACTTTATATGTAGTCAATTGTGATGAAAGTGTGAATATTCAGCATCTTTTTACTCATGTAAGTTGCTAACAAGAGGCAAACTTAGTTTCTTACAGGGCGATATGCAGCTCAATTTCACATCATAATCATTCATTTCCGACGCCCTCTAGTGCGCAAGACCATGAAAGTTTTAATATTTTAATAATAATATTGTCAGCTGAAAGACAACTTCAAGATAGTAGAGACGTATGATATAGAGAAAACATAGGGATCAGCCATGAAATAGCCCATCCTAAACTAAAGGAAAAACGAATATAAACTTGCCATATGAAGATCTATCTTCTGATTATTCTTTTTTACTTTTTTCAGTCTCTTTATCTTAATTTCATACGATTCATTTCTACGTCATTGTTCATCATACTATATATTCATCTCACGATTGTTTACTTACATAAAATGAAATTAATTAATAAGCCGTTTTTACTTATTAGCAGCTAAAATAGTTAGAAAAGATCAGGGGCCGGTTGCACGAAGCCTGGATAGCGTTATCCATTGGATGAAAAAATTTTTACACTTGTAAAAAAGATGTTTATATTTTTTTAAGACAAAGAAATTTTGTAGTCCTCGAAACAATATTTTATTTCAGTGAATGCACAGCTCAAATCTACCCAGTGGATAGCTATGGTGCCTAGTCATTTCTATGTTTTACGGGGGGTCGAAGCGTCAAATTTGTCGGCAAAGTGGGCGTGGTATGGTCTTGGTTTGGACTTAGCATTAAGTGAAAATATACCGATAGATGACCAATTTTTGCCGACAAAACGATGATTGGGTGGGTGCACCCATGATCCACCATTCGCGACTGCTCTGATATTCTGTTCTAACACAGTTACATTTTCAATTCTGTCATGTCCGCATTTGTGTAATTTGGTGACTTCCCTAGAGCGGTTCATATTGTATTACTCATAGGCTAAAAGCGCAATGATATCATTCTCGCATCATGCTATGCGCTCAGTCACGGTGCTTTACCTTAAAATGGTGTTTGAAGCCAATGTTCGATTTTCTCGCCGCACGCTTCATAATACTTCCACAACTCATAACGTACGTCAACGTTCTTCAGTATTTGTAGAAGTTCATCTTTACAAAACTTATTGCCTGAAATCACTTCTCTGTATTCCACGAGTTCGTCCAAATCATTCATATAACCTCTAAATGTTCTCGAAGCTAAAGCGAAAAAAGTTGAATTTGACTACCGAACATGTTCGACAGTTCGAAATATTCTTAAATGTGAATTCTCTCCTCTAGCAAGAATTCTACGATAAAACTAAGCTGAAATTGTGAACTCTTTCTTCCAGAAAGAATTCTCCGAAAACACTTTCACTGTGCCATAATTGTGATTCTTTTCTCTCTTGAGAATTCGAGTTCCGTGAAAACAGTTCGTGAGTTCAGTAGACATGAAATCATGAACGGCAATCTTTACCTTCATTAAACTTGACATCATCAACGAGAAATTGTTCTCAGAAATCAAGAACTCTCCGCTTGTTGCCCTTTTACCAACACGAGCTTGATGCTCAACAGACTAAAAGAACACATTCAATAAACAGAGATGAGCAAGATGTCCTCTCCTGATACATAGACGGTATTGTTATTGAACATTATATGTAAGTTTGTGGTTATTTATGATTATTAAATCCTTTTCTATGTTATTATTACAGTTTGTTTCTATGCAATGATGTGAGATATTACTGGGCAATAAGTTAAACGAAATGACAAAACTTTATACAATCGAATATAGCTACATAGTTTAAAAAAAAAATTTGTTAACCTAGACTTGAAAATTATCGTATCCTTCACATCACCACGTTACGTCATGGAATCAGAGGTGTAACTAAGTAAATTGGGAGGAGGTGTATATTCATATATTCAGTTATGCTCTACTGATTTCTTTTTGAAATTCAATTAAGACGAAATCAGTAAGGCACAACGGATTTTATAAGAATACCCCTCCCCCCCACACACCTCACTAACGTTCTAGTTACTCCTCTATGGAATAACTATGTGATTGACAAACTTATCACATCACATATACTGTTTTATCGTTTTCGTTTTAAAATAGTGAAATATACCAAAATATTTTATTCGATGTTCCTCCAGCATAAAACAATAGAATTGCCATGAATAAGCTTTGATCTAAATTTACATAGCAGGACCAAACATTGCGGGCTAAAGCACCCAACTACTAAAAATGCTACGTAGTTTCCGCGACTAACGAATCATGGAACATCTACGCATGTCATAACTTGTTATTTAGTTATCAATGTTATTTAGTTACGTGTTTTAGTTGTAGATCATCCAGGTTAGTAGAGGCTTTAGCAGGACTGCTGGTGTTGATGTTGACTGACGTTTTGACAACCTGAGCGGTAGTCATCTTCAGAGTTCATGTGTCATTGCGTGTAGAGGAAATGTGTCGGTGTGTGGGCATCAATTGTGTATTGTCATCGTAGAATAGGCTCAAATAAATAAATTGCTCGTTCGTTTTTAGGTTGTGAATAAGTCGTTTTATGGTGTCGGTAATTGTTGTGATCTGTTTAGTAGTAATGTTCTAATATTACTAATATTACTTAGTTTTGCCAAATGCGTAGTTACGTGATGTTGCAAGCTGCTATTTTTGCGTAATGTTGGGTTATGTAATATTTTAAGATGTTATGATATTGCTATGTTGGGTTACGTAATGTTGTATAATGTAATGTTGCTCTACGTTGGGTTACATAAAGTGATATTGTAAGTTTTGTGATGTTTCCGATAACGGGCTTACGATGTTGCTAAGTTGCCTACAATGTTGCTGAATGTTGAGTAAAATGGAAACTTTATCAAATATTACACTGCAAACAGTACCGGTAGGCATGTTGATAAAACGCCTAACAAGCTGTTGAGCCTCGTCAATGAACTTCTTCGACATATAAGATCAGCAACCATCTTGGAAAGTTGTCGAAAATGGAACCAAGTTTCGGAACGATGCTATCTCTGATATTTCGGCAATCAACCATTAATAAACCATTAGTTGTGCAGATTGACTTCGTGAACTGTTCTAATTCTACCATCCAGGTATTAATCTAAGTTGTTTCTAAAAATGTACATAGAAAATGTCAGTTAATTTCCATGTTCTTCAGGTTTCTCAGTCAAACAGGCTGCTGAATGAATTTTGGATCATTTTAAAAGCATATTAATAGCATATTGATGAAAACACTTCCCTGGAGACTTATTTTCAATTGATGATACATGGCATTTATATTACATCTTGCATCCTTGAAATACAGTGCGGTGAGGGAGGGGAGGGAGGTTGTAGTGGATGACGAATAATCTCCACTGGACAAGATGACGAGGATCAGATTGAACTTTCACACGAATATTCTGACCAAAACTGAGATGACAAAGCCGATGTGACAAGAGCGTCACAGTGACAACGGCTGTATGAAGCTGGACTGTATAATTATGTACAATTTCATTTTCTCCTTTCTGTTTCCTATTTAACTTTTCGTCATCCAGTAAAGTTGAAATTTTACGCGGTAAAAAAATGGTGGTGTGCTGAGGTTGAGGTAATGCTCGAGGTATAATAAGACTTTTGGTTTAATATTTGTAGGTAATATACGTATTTGAATGTTTTATGCAGTGCGGTGTTTGAAATTAAATGAAGATATGATCTTTCACTTTGTTGGACAATTTAAGCAATTGTCTCATAAACCTGAAAAATCAGGTGACTCAACGGGAATCGAACCCATGACCTCTGCGGTGCCAGTGCAGTAATCTGACCAACTGAGCTATCATGCACACAGTGGTGAGCAGGTCAATTTTGTTGGCTCATGTTTTCTCGTGAAATGAATGTCATATGAATGTTTTATGCAGTGCGGTGTTTGAAATTAAATGAAGATATGATCTTCGCACTTGTTGGACAATTTAAGCAATTGTCTCATGCGAAGATCATATCTTCATTAATATACGTATTGTTATACACCTTATATCATGCAAAGAAATCTTGTCACAATCATGTTCAACATGTCTAACATGATATGAACGTACCTCAATAACTTCCGTCGGCCTTCCACGCCATGAATTTAACACGGTATTATTCCAAGTTCGAACAAATTTATGAACCTCAAAGAGTCTTTCGTTGCTCCTTCAGAACTCGAACACTTCTGCAGATGCAGCATTGACAATTTCCTCCTGTTTCCGAAAGGCATGAACGATATCTTCACTAAAACATACAAATGAATATATCAAATGGATGGAATAATCTAACTAGATAGTCAGTAATGTTTGTCGGACGAAAGAAATATATAACATAAAAATATTGCCACTATGCAATTATGCAGGACCGTGAGAACAACAAATTTCAAAGAATTGAATAATGGTAAACTTCTGAAATTACACATAAAAGTTAATCTGTAGGCTGGCTACGCAACTGAACATATTCATCTTTAGTATTACCATACAGTAGGCTAATCTAGCCACCATGAACGAAAACGTTGATGAGGAAAAAAAGACCTGTTTTTTAATTGCAAAGTACGTAGCTACAGTATGATATTAACCTACATAGTTTGCAATCAATCTATTTTTCAATTACCAGCACTTTTCTTAAAGAAAATGCATGGTTAATGGAGATAAATATAAGATAACTGCTTTCTCAATAGAAATATACGCTAATATATACGTAGACAATAATATGCAGGAGCGTAGGGAAGGAAAGTGAGGAAAACATAGACAGTAGGTAACAGAAATAACTTTTCGTAGATACAAAATCAAGTTAGAAGTGCAAGTTATTTTGAAAACTCTCCGCTGGTCTTTGAGAGCGCTTTATATCACGCAGTATTCAACTTTGTGCTTACTTCTAAATCGCTGCGACACGTTTGACGACGCCTATGTAAAAAACACAGGCCAATTTTACAGGTATAAATTAACTATTGCATTCCGCTTCAGTATCATAATGTTAACAAAAAGATCTGATACATGGTTAGTTCGTATGAAAGCATTCGTGGAGATTTACTTGTTGTACATTTTGATATGATAAAAAAACAAATGAAAATTACACAAAAATGCTCTTCTCTCAATGCAAAACTTACTCTTTGAAGAATATTCTTAAGTTTCTCATATGCAACAGGGCTGGTGGATGCCTTCACTTGCAATTGCATTGTTTGTCCTTGCACAATCATACCAGGTCTTGGTTGAATTATTGACTCCACTTCCATCGATATTTCCAATAAACAACTTACTTTATTAAAAATTCCAGCGCCAAAGTGAAATTACTTTCTTTACAAGATATGTAGCCTTGAAAGAGAAATGAAAACATGACATGACAAAATGGCATGGATGTTTTCTATGTACTTTGTGTATTTTACATACCTTCCCAAACAGTGCATCAATATTCTCTGAAGTTGGAAAATATTATATTGAAATATTGAAAATTGTAAAGTCTTTATGAGAAAACATTAACATACCCTGTAAAGCCTCATCAAAATATTTTATGGATTTCTTAATGGCAGAATCTCTGTACTTGTAAGATCAATCCATCCACGTAAAATAGTTCCCTGTATGAAAGAAGACAGGTTAAATTGTGGTTATGATGTGAAAGGCATGTTTAGAAAACCTCTTTGAACCATTGGACATTTTCAACATTCTGTCAACATATTCTCTTGCTTTTCATGACGTCCTGTGTGCCACAAAAACATTGCACCAAAGTATAGCGCATTCTCACCAACACTTGTTCGAATCTTTTTCAATCTTGTTTCCAATTCATGTACACTTTCCTTGTCAATTAATTGTGCCTTTTTATGTGCATAGATTAATGCCATCAAACAGCAAAGGACAACTTCTTCACTTTCTTGGATGGATTCAAATTCTCTAATGGCTTCTGACACACGATCTGCAAGTCAATGTAACAACCATTATGAAGTATTGGCAATACAGTATATTTTAATAAATATCATTGGATCATTTTAAATACAAAGAAATAAAGCTTTTAAGCAAGCACAAGCTAGTTTAGTGATGGATAAGAGACCAACCACTATAAATTGACATAAATTCTGCTTGCAGAATGTAAAGCTTCATATGTGAAATGACAGGAGACAAAATAAAGTGAAAATTTTCTTATTTGAAGGGTGCAGTATACACAGACAGTTTTAAAACAGTCAGAATGCATCAAATGACAAAGTACTAGTAAAATGGGACAATCAATTACGAGAAAGTCTAGAAAACCTGTTGCCATGGACTACGCAACGCAACAACTGCAGAATGCGAACGACAATACTCTACATTTTAACAACAAACCTTCCATCAGTATTCCAAATGCTTTCCAAAATGTCAAAACCGGATCACCTCCGTGCTTCTGCAAACCTTGCAAATACACGTTTTGTAGGTGCCTGTAAAATCTTGCTCGACAATAATAGTTGATACTGCCCTGTTGCCAAGTCAAATATTGCACTTGCTTGAGTCAAAATATAATTCATATTTCTGCAACTAATGTTAGAATTATCTATAAGATGAAACATACCAGTATTATAGTATCTGTAGATGCCATAGTTATTCGTAAGCTAGATTTTTGTGTTATCGTTTTCTACCATTTGCTGACATCTCTTTATCACTCTGTTTTATTGACTCTCGGCCCAAGCTACTTCTATGTGCGCGCGGTCAATATTAAACTCTGTAATTAAATATGGCCGAAGAAACTCCATCAGAACAAGAAGCATTGAAACGGTGAGAAAAGTTAAAAGCATTGAGGGAGAAGAGTGCTGCTGCTGCTGAGGTATACTATTGTCTTAATTTTTTATTTCAACCGTCAGGTTCATCGTAATTTTTTGTCAAAGCTAGTTACTGTACTCTCAAAATGACAATCTTCAATGTATCTATTCAGCCTATATTCTCAGTATTCTGAAAAGTATGTCTTTTTTTGACGAGATCTTCAGTTTTGTATGATGACATTATAGTAAACTGCTTTATACTGCGCAGATGCACACAATGCAATCAAGAGTACTGATCCATCAGTAATCATGAAATTCAATATAAAATTATAAATGTTGGTTTGGTTACACAATAAAAACAAAACATGTGTTTTTTGCGTGTAAAGGTGTTTTGTTTTAAAATCTCCATTCTATTTTGTGCACTGCAATTAAGAATGCTTTGCACATTGTTCCATTATCAGTCAAAGTTTTGGATGACTTGTATTTTCCATACAAACACTCGAAACAGAATGTGTTTGATCTTTAGGGAGGTCGCGTTGAAAAGAGAGGAGTCAGTAACAGTTCAGCAGAAAGCGAGTAATGCATTCATTGTGTTTGTATGTTTTGATTGTCAATCTAGGCATGATGTTGAAAGAAAAGTAATGCCTGACATTTAAATTTTTTGGCTAACCAACTAGAATTTGCCTTAATTTGGCGACAAATTAAGTAAGAGATGTATACATATTACTGAGAATATTACTAGCATAAATATTGTTGCTCACTATCTTTCAATGATGGCTTGCTTTGACCATCAGTACCTATTATTTCAAGCCCAGCATAAATTAATATACCTTTGTAATCACATTCACTCATTGTTATGTACATATATATATATGCTTATACACTTTGTATATATATATAAATACATAAAAGATAAAGGTTTCTCCGAATTTTAAGTGATTTTTATTGAGCTTTTGACTTGTTGCTTTGAGCCCTCATCAGAATGAGGAAATATTATTTACACAAGTCGAAAGCTCAATAAAATCATTTTATACAATCCGGAGAATCTTTTATTTTTATACATTAAATATGCCTGGATTACCAATCTTTAAACTTATATATATATATCTTTCATTGTTTTCCTCCTTTCACATTTAGATCTGCTGTGAAAGTTATTAAAATTTAGAAACTACCAAAGGAGCGAAAACTTCCTGGGGCCAAACCACTTTCAGGTTATTTAATGTACAAGAATTGTTAAACATATAAACATGACAATATCAGTTTTTACAAGTGATTTGAAGAAACAAAGTATCTATATATGGTAAAGGATGAAGTTAAATTGCTGTTAATGACAGCATGTACTGTCACCTTGGTTAACTTAGTGTTTGTAGATGTAGACTGTCCAGGTTAATGCATTTCCTAGAATGACTGTGGGTTTTGATATTGACTGATGTTTTGACACAGATACTCAAGCCATTCAAACCATTTATTTTGCTTGGTATTATCAATAATTGAACAAATCCGAAGAAAAAACTAGCATTTATAAATGCAAAGTTTTTGTAATAGAGCATGATATAGCTACTGGAAGCAAATGATGACATCGAGTTATAACACCAATGCAATTTAGCGTCATACATATAAATGTTTTATTTTCATGCAAGTTTTCAATTATAGACGGTAGTTATCGTTCGTTGATACAACAATATTTTGGTCGGGCACGTTATGTGTCTAACTATGCCCCCAAAAAATTCCTACCCGCGCCAAATTTTCTAGGAACTATGTCCCCGTTTTCAAATTTGTCCTCCCAAATGAAAGAAGTAATGAAAAACTTTAACAGTAAAAAATATGTCTTTCTTATTTTAAATAACTGAGAAAATGTTTATTAAAGAGTGTTAGTTCCTTTTACTGCGTTTTGCCGATCACGAAGCACAAAAGTAACAATTCATAAAATAGTTTGTTGTTCGTGTACAATGAACATTCAAGCATACAAAACATTCAGCAAGATATCTCGGCGTTTCCTCTTGTTTCTGAATGTTTTGTTATGCGGTTTATACTTGTTTTGTTTGGGTGAAATGTGTAAGTCATTTAATCCCTTGCGCTTTTGTATCTGCGGGTTGTTTTTCTGAGTCATATTAGTTTAATTACTATGTATTATTGCTATATTCGTCAATGCATGATGGTATCTCTGAATTGTGATGGTTGTTTTGACTGGTTTTATAAAATTTAACTAAATTTATTGATCCAAATAGATTGAAATATCTAAAATCACCTGCGGTCTTGTTTTAAAACTGAAAAGTTTCACTGTTTTTTAAGATAAAGGTAAAAGTTTGTGAGGGGGACAATTTTCCTAAAGTTTTTTTTTCACCTATACCAACCTATATTTACATAAATAAAGCCTGAAAATGATTAATGTACCATTGTATATGAGCTTTTTTACTGTTCGGTCTTATAACTTTTATCAAACACTTACGTACACTATTCATTAAAAGAAACGTAAAATTCCCATAAGTTTGTCGTAATTGTGTTCAATTTTACTTTAATTATTTTACCTTTTTTCTACTTAGTTTTATTTTCTGCTACATACTTCTAACGTGTCTCTTGCTTTACTTAATCAAATGTTTTGTAAAGCCACCTCAAAATTTTTTCTGTTGTTTTAGTGGAACAAGAAGTGAAAGAACATGTTGAAAAGGAAAATCTGATGTTGTAAATGAAGTGGTAAGAATAAAATCAACAGTTTCATGTTCATGGATAAAGATAAAAATAAAAAACTTGATAAATAAATACTAAATAAATACTTTATGAATGAATACTTTCCTGAAACGAATTCTAAATTTACCGAATCAATTGTGATGTACAAATTTCTTTAATTTAGGACTTAAGTAATCTTGCACCGAAAACCCGATTGGTGAGTATAATACCAGAGGATAAATAATTGAACGCATAACGTGCGAGTTTTCTTTCCAAAATAAATTAAAATTTCATAACATTAGGATTGAAAATTGGGCTTTATTTGGACTATACAGTGTGCGAATTAGTTCAGAAAAAACGATGTGCAATTTTTTTTGACAAAAGTGTTTCTTTAGAGGCATAATCAAATCGATATTACGTTAATTATTATATAGCGCTAATTGCTAAATTAATATTCTTAAACGTGAACAAATTCATATGATTTACGACAGTGTTTTTCGTTAAAACCGCTGACCCAGTATAAAATGTATGAGAGAAATTTTTATGTTTTTTGCAGTGTGTAAATAAATCTCTCCTCTCTTTTGTTCATACTTAAAATGCAGACAATTTATAACACACGACCATTATCATGAAATCAATCCTAGTAATCATGGAGTCAGCATTTGACAATTTCCAGTCATTTATGTTCACATCAACATGATATTTCACTCATTGTGATTATATGATGCAAGCTCATCGAATAAAATATTTTGAAACAAATTATTGCTAATTATATGTTTCACTGTATATAACATTTCATTTCAGACTGGTGACGCTCACAACTTCAAAGACAAAATCATGCGAAGTCAAACGATTGAAAAGAAAATCATCCATTTGAAAATTTTTCGCATGTTATTTTTCTTTTTTCACAATAAATTCACCATTGACCATCATCCTAGTAATCAAACGAGTCAGCATTTGATGTTTCCATCTATTTTTCACTGTATTAATGATGCACTCGAATTGAAACATATGAAAGACTTTAATATTTTTTTACTGTATTAACTTTGTCACAACCTTTCGACGAAAATGGCAAAAGACAAAGTGAAAAGAAAAACGAATATACGTTTGTTTTCTGATTATTAACAGTAACATCCTTGATGTTTTTGATAAAAACATCATATTTATGTCATATTACAAGCAATATGTAAAAGCAAAAATATTGATCAAGTTCCAGTTTTAATATTTTGAGCCAAATTTGGCTTCTTTTTCTCACGTTAGGCTTATTTAAAATCAAAATTCCCTTGGTTTATTCTTCAAATTTGGCTTATTAAAGTTTTTTTGTCTTGTTTTAGAATCAAAATCAAAACGTTTCCCGATTTTACTGAAAATACTTAAAATAGCTATGATGCCAAAAACAGTACGTAACGGTTTACAAAACAACGCAAATGCAAAAATTGACATTAATAATGTATTACATCCCTATTGTCATAAGCATATAAACACCATGTATGTAGACTGTTGACAGACTTCTCAGTCTCAGTGACAACGTCTTCAAATTTGATGACATTGTGCCAACATGGATTTTTATGTCGTGCAGCGCACTCGTTTATAAAGTAAAGATTAAGCTTGAAAACTTTCTTCAATTTATGTTGTAGTAATCAATAAAGAAGTTTTTTGCATATCGTTTGAAAAAGTGATGTGCAATTGTTTTCATTTTAGCTAAAGCGATGTGAAAATTGCACATTGCACACCGTTAATTCGCACACTGCGACTATACCATTCGCTTTTACGCATTATATTTCAAAGCTGCTCTTCGAATGACGAGTGTGATGTGATTCACATGCTCAAATGATGTCCCTTAGAGTTTGTTATTGATAGTACTAGTTACTCCAAAAACGGTGTAAGTAGATGTTGCTAGTCATTGTCATGACCATGAACTTGAACTGTTGTATTGCGGACTCAGCATGTTCAGATGATTCCTCGAATAATATGTGATTAAGCGAACTAGTTTTTGTAGTGACGTCACTAGTTGCTATATTGCATTCTTGTTATCGTTTTACTGTGATAACTGCTACTTATAGATGCATGTAGAAATTTCAAAGTTGGCAAATTTTATATATGTACCTATATTGGTTACATTTGCAAATATCGTTCATAGTTGTTGTATGTTTTAGGGATTTAAAACGTGACGTTGCCAAGAAATTAGAAAAATTAGAGAGGCGCACTCAACGGGCAATCATTGAATTGATACGTATGTATATATTTCAACACTTTGTTATGAATTATACGGTTTGATTGCTAATATAAGAGATGAAAGCATTAAACATACTAACAACGACAAATACGTATGTGTATCAACTAACGAGATACAGCAACTCTTACTTTTTCAAAATTTAAGTGAAGTATTTCCACTTTTCACCGGCGAATTAAAAGCATATCTCAACACTAACTTCCTTAGATTTATTGAGGAATTATGAATACATGAGACTGTACGGTCTCACGACAAGATTAATAGGAAGATTAAGAGGAACATTTCTCGCATGCTTTTAAGTTAATGTCATACGTATCACTAAGCTGTCATTATCGACATTTTGGAGAACAGATCTCCCAAGTTGTGATCATCACTCAACCATAAAATCAGAAAGTTGTGTATGCTTGATGTAAAATTTCAGTTGTTTATGCCTGATGTTAAGTTTCATTTGAAAAGGTTCGTTTGCCAAATAAAACAAAAAGGATTTGTGTTTTGTTTTCGGAACTTCGTAGTTCGTACAAGTTATTTTTTATTCGCTACTATTGGCCGTGTGTTTACATTGCGTGGAAAGACTGGGCGCTACTGGCTTCAAAATATATGCTGACGTAGCCTTCCATCTATTTACTTCAATGGTGATTATTTTTAGGTTCACGTCTTCAGGAGGAAGGTAATCTTGCCGAAGTTGTAAGTGCCGTTACAACTGAACAAGGATTTGACGCTGAATAAATCGAGTTCTTGTTAAGTGAGCTGCACAAGCTTTCGGGTAAACACTTGGTATTGGAGGTAGTTCAATTTTTCTTTTCAAAATTCAAATTTTATTAAATCCCGGCAAAAATATCTCGTTTGTGTAGAAACAGAAGTTGACACCATGCGATGAAACGGATTTGAATGTCCTGACTAACTGCATGTTATAAATTCACTCGCTGTCTTTGTGTAGTAAAAACATTGTTTTATTGAAGAATAACAAGAAATAGTGAATCAATTTTTATTACATTGCTTTCCCATTTTATCTGTAAGCATTCTATAACAATCTTCTTTATAAAGCCATGAAAATAATATTTCATACACATTACTTTGTACTATATAAATCGCGTGTGACATTGACATTGTGATGATTTATTTATGACTTGATGATGATGTTTTACTGTGTTTTTCTTGAGGGGGATACTGTGCAGACTTGTAGAACTGCTTGGGTCCGACTTAGCATGTTTTAATTTTCCCCTAGCGCTTTAATGGTTCTAAAAAAAACAGAAGTCATATTAAGATCTAAATGTAGATTTTCAACTCTTTATTATTTAATTAAAAGAATTTTTATGGCATTAAAAACAAGGGTAATAAGTTTGAACCATTTTAATGACACGTTTTGAAGTAATTTAAAACTCCACTTTGTTCGACAGTCGATCATCATTACTAGTTTTTAGTTCCAATATTTAATTGTAAATTACTTTTTTCCCCGCTAATCACTTTGTCCAACAGTGATCAAACGTTTTGTTTTCGCCCGAAGATCCAGAATTACATCCATATCAATTGAATCTGTGATATCATTTTCGCATGCAAGCACCATAAAACTTTTATGTCGTTCTTGCTTTATTGCTGAACGCAAAAACCATCTTGATCAATTTGAGCTTTGACAAACTACGCTCACTTGAAGCTGAAGTTATATTTTCTGTCAAAACCAACTATTAACATCTACGTGTCATTGAGAAGATGGAACTTTTACACAGTTTGCTTCATCTTCGAGCGATTTGATATCAGGCTTGTTTGCTTGGTCATTCGTGCCTAATCGTTGTGAGTTCAAGCTTTAGGGCACTTGCATCAAAGTAAAGGTTTCAGGAAGCATTTTTACCAGTGCCAGCAGCTCTTCTGGTTCTGGTTCTTTGTCGAATGGTGGCATAAGCAAGTAGATCGCAGATTTAAGTATGTCACAAACAGCTTTAACTTTGGCATTAAGATTATGAATTCGAACGTTAAGAATATGAGCGAATTCTTTTCTGTAGAAATTATTGAAATTTAGGATTGCATTGGTTTAACGTCTTTCGTCCAATTTTATCCGTTTGCGTCGAAAGCGATGAGTCTGCTGGTCCTCATCTTCAGCATCTATTTCATACTGTGCAGAAAAAATAACAGTTGCATTGGCCGTTCAAATTGCTTTCATCATCGCGTAGATTCTACAGCGTAGCAATGGTAGTTTCGGAGGCCTCAAGTGCATCGACAATGTTTATATCTATACTTTGGATTTCATTTGTCAAAATCTTTGTCTTTGTCGTAACATTTTTTATAAACATCAACATAAATAAGAAATTCAAACGACTTTACTCTTTCCAGTAGATTGCTTGTTTTTGATCTGGTCTTTGGATTATCTGACTCTTTCAATTCTTCAAGTGATCTTGTTCTTTCATTGTAGCTTATCCATACAGATTTAATAGAGTCAGCACGTAAACTCCAGCGCATATCTGAAAGATTTCTTAATTCAAGTGCTCCAACTGCATCACTATTCTTTAAAATTTCATGGTAAACGCGGTATCTCTTCAGGCTTGATATAAAGAAGACAAAAGTTCTTGGAGGATGTCAAACATTACATACAGCCTTGCTTCATCACTTTGCTCCACGGTTGTGTTGACTCGATGAGCAAGACAAGGAAAATAAGGTATTTCCTTTCCAAGATATTCTTTTAATTTTGCTTGACAACCCCTGCAAAATGCCTGACATGGAAGACGTGTAATCGTAGGAATGAAAAACTACGTCAGATGTGTAGAGACACTTATCATTCAGAGAAGAAATAATTTCTTGTGCATAACCGTCACCTGTTTTGTCATGGATTATCTTTATATCAAGACGTTCTTGTTGATTTCCATCAGTACTTACGTATCGTGCCACCAAAGAAAGTCGGGCAACGTGGGACACATCGGGTGTTGTATCAGCTATGACGGAAAACATTCCAGCCTGATTTGTATCAGCTATGACGGAAAACATTCCAGCCTGATTTGTATCAGCTATGACGGAAAACATTCCAGCCTGATTTGTATCAGCTATGACGGAAAACATTCCAGCCTGATTTATTTCACCACTGACTTTATCTGCAGCATCTTCTTCTAATAAGTCAAGAAATTCATTTTGAAAACTGGAACTAAGACTGTCGACTCTGTGCGACCGCTTTGGAGCATCATCCGACCATCTCCTGAATGATGGTGAGTATCTGGCTACCAAAGATGCAATCTGACGGAAGGTACCATTTCCTTGTTTCTCTGAGGAAGAGCCACGAAAGGCTATTCCTTGACGTGCAAGCGTTGTCAATACATCTGAAAGTGTTTTAATGGATTTACGGTTGCGCTGAGACTTACGATGTCAATCCTTTACTTACGACACGATGCCGGTCAAATTTAAAAAATCAAAATACACTGTTTTTATTTACTTAATAATCTGTTGATTATGCAGATTATGCATGTGATATTAATGCATGTTTAATTGATTTAAGATAAGAAAATTCAATTAAAGGATGAAAATTAAACACAAAATTCCTAAACATACCAATTTACTCTATTAAATGGTAGGGGACCGAATTGACTGCCGAAGTGCATTTTCTCATGACCGACTATTGACATCTCTTGAAAAAATTAAGGGATGTTCCGCTCTCCACACACCTCCTATGTGTGCCCCTGTATCTAGCTGTCATAATTGATTACATTGGTCAGACATGTCATCACAGTAACTACCAAAACAATTTCTTCCAATTAAATTTTTTTCAGCAAACTATCTTTATGCTTTACAATTATCTTTCTTAAAAGGTGCTCTTCAGTTTTTACAAATATACATATAGTTTACCAAATTGTACAACAGTGCTCTAACCAACGTATTTTTTTTAGAGTATACCAAAGATTCTGATGATCTTACCAATGTACTTGGTGTTAGTAGTGGTATTTTTGGTATCGGTATAATTCTGTTGATATTATGAAAACTTTTCACCACCATGGTGTTAAGAATATGTATTATTTGACCTATAACATTTTTGTTTTAGCATAATTTAAGTAAGCTGTGTTTTCTGTGTTTGGAATGAATAATAAAACGTGAAATTTTTTAAATTTTTAGGACTACCATGAATACTAGAAATGTGAAAGAGCAAATTCAAATTCACACAAGGCCAATATGCACGATTTTTTTATATGTATATCTTTGGTTAAAAATACAATATACAATAATTCCATACGATTGCATTTTGCTACATTGTGTCCATGTATAAACGATCCTCAGAGATGAGGCAAATCCTCTATTGCTTGTTGGATTGGGCTTTAATCTTCTGTTGAGTGCTTCGTTCTCATCTGACTTCAAAATGTGCTGTTTTTCTTTAAGGCACAACCGTTTTAATTCCTTAAAGGAACATCTTAAGGATTGTAAGAGAGCGTTCTGTTTGACTGGCCCTTCGCATAGTCGCAAACATAAATTCTGAGCGTCACTCATAATCTTTTTATTTTCTTTATACAGTGCCTAATAGGCAACTGACAGCTGAACAACATGAAACCAAGTTAAAGAAATAATTTGGTCTATCGAGGGTTAAAAGTTGATTAATTTTGTCAGTAGATGTTCGTGTTTTTAAAGATTGTAAACACATACATGCTCGTTTTAGAGAAAAATTCTTTGTATCAATTAACTTGCAGAGTCAACCGTCGAAAATGCTGCGTTTTTTGGTGGCAAATCCTGAGTATTTTCCTTGGTTCAATTTTATCTACAGACATATGTTGACAAAACGTTCAACAAAAACAATAGTCAGAGTTTTTAAAATAGTATCCCATGTACTGTAATAGTTTGTACACAAGAAACGTATAATCTGTATGTGTGCAATTTATTTTTATTTTCGTACTTGTTTGCTATGTCTTAATTATTTATGTCAGTAAAAATAAAGATTACACATATTTACAACTATGCTTTTTCTCATCAAACTGTTGTAATCACTCAACTGTTAAGTAGCTTGCTTTCGACCTCATCTTGAGCAGTACTGCCTTTTATTTTTCCATTCATAAGCACCAAACTCCGGTGACTTCCTTTGGCGTAAATAGTGTCTGTTTGTTGGAACAAATATTCATTGACAGATGTATTACTAGATAACGTTGACATTCGTGAATCAGCTCTTGATTTTTTCATCCTTTGGATTGGGTGTTTGGATTGAGGTCCTCCTGTAGCGATGAAATGATTTAGGACTTCGAATACAAAACAACAATACAGCATTAGAGAAAGTACTTAGAACTTATATATGAAAGAAAAGAACTTATTTGCAATTGAAGTTTTAAATGTTTCTTACTCTTCTTTATCAAAGAGAGATCATGAAATTAGGTACAACAAAAACTCACCAAATAATCTTTGTTGATTTAATTTTTTATGAACACATACAAATCATATAAAAAAATTCCATCTGTCGAATGAAATGATAAACAAATTTCCACTTACCGAAATTAAAACATACACCATGTCTGTTTGGAGTAAATTATTTTCAATAACTGTGTCATTACGATACTCAATTGAACGGCTTTCTTCTGCAACTTTTTGCATCACGCTTTGTGGCCAACTTGAGAAGAGTTCAAAGTCTCTGAAAATCATTTCAAATTGGTCCCGTGAGTGACCGTGTGTTGACAGTTAAGAGAAAGGGACTGGGTATGACTGGGTATGGCATTCGATAAATACCAGCTTTGGAAGGCACTTAAAACCCTACCCTACCCTAACCCCAACCCAAAACTCAATTTTCTTGCATGTCTGTATCGTTTTTAACAAACCTTACCACATCGCATGTTTAGTAGAACAAGATATAAGCTCGAACATTTTCTAACCTGAAATATTTTACTCTGTATTCCATTTCATTGCGCAAAATGTTGTCGATTCCCATTAGACTGAAGTCTTCTTTTTCAATATAGAGCAGCTCCGTTGTGGTCAAACAGACAATGGTCGCAGACCGTTGTGCATTTCTTATCAGAGAAAGTTCCTGTTTGGGCGTTCAATATTATTAAATGTTTTAATAAGATGTGCTATTCTGGGTGCTTCTGAAGGTTATTGGGGTGAGATATAGAGGTGCAAGACCTTGGCGGTGGGAGGGTAAGGCAAAAAAGACCTAGTTCTCCCTGGTGCAACAAAGTGAAATGT